GTCGGTTTTTGATAGCTGACGACAATAAACTTCAAAAACCAACGGTGTCTTATAAGATACTTACTCATTTTTGCCCATCCTCAGAATAAAGCTGTTACCCTTATTCTATGCCTTAATATAAAAAACACACTGAAGTAAGCAATTATTTGATATACATTTGATTTACATTTGATATTCATTTGATATTATTATTTTCCTTTTTACACTCTCAATTATCAATGATTCTGCAACCATGGAGTATTGAGGCTAAGCGGACAATCAAAGTCTTAAAGCCAACCCATTTATAATTGCCATGATTTTTGTAAAATCAAAAATTTTGAACAACGACAAGACCATTTAATACCCACTTGAATGGATAATTTTTTCAACATTATGCCTATGTTTAGAGCCTGCGATTGCAAAAATCCCTGCTGTATGGGTGGAACAGATCCATTATAATATGTTATTTTGCACTCTTCCACCCTTCACAAATAACCGATTATGGTAGTAAAAAATTCTACTATTTGCCATCCTCACCAGCACTGCCCTTCCTGCCTTAATATTGTGCAGGCGCCCTTGGTCAGGCCCACACCATAACAAAAAATCTCTTAGGATTTCTTAGGTGAGCCACTGCATCATGCAGTTTGGTCAAGCAGCTTTTCGATGCTTAGCCACCGCTCCTGTTAAAAGGATCCTTGACAGGCATACTGGTTTTAAACAGAACATGACATAAACTTAGAACCTTTGATTCTAGTACAGGAGTGCAACACTTTCCAGACAGCGATCTTGGTTTTTGCCGAGGTCACAAAGACAACCAGAAAATTTAGGTTTTGATGTTGCGTCGCCAATATAACCTGCTAACCCCTAAATCCACAAAATTGAAAAGCTTTATGATATCGTATCTCTACCTTATCCTCAGACTGTTGATAGAAAGATTAACAGGGCTGTCTTATTTAAAATAAGCTTTATTAGCAAAGACAATTTTCCGCCCAAGAAACGATATGAATATTTGATTCAAATAGTCAAAACGGCTCCATTTCTCAACAAACTGATGTACATTGATAAGAATCAACAAGCAAAGTCTCTTCGCCTGTATAAGAAAGAGTCTGGCCACTCGAAATTCATTAGCAGCGATTGAATTGGATGTTGTCAGCGATTCACTATGCAGTGGTGGACCGCAAGTGGATCTGCTTGTCTGTCCTTTGGGTGGATCAATCAGTTAAAGACTTTCATGAGCGAAATGCTATAAACTTTTCATTTCAAGCAAATTTGCATTCGAGGCAAATAAGCAAATATCCCTATAAGCATAGCCATCTCCACCTAGGACATGAACGTGTTGCCTTCTTTAACCATTTGTTTCCAGTATAATATTCGATTTTCTACTAGTTTTTGAATCTTGTTGTTGAATTTATCAAAAGTATGCGAAAATTGTCCTGCAAAAATCATAAGCTTTACCCAGTTCTGCAGATAGTGCCATTAAGTCTATTTATGAGTCCCTTTAACGCAAATCGTGCTATGTCACCGACTGTGACTTTTCTTAGAGCGTGTTTACATGACCAAGCTTCTCATGGATAACTTAAAATGATATTTGCCAACAATTTCGCCGTTTGTAGAGGAAACGCTAAATTACACTTCAAGGCACTATGTCCCAAAAGAGTTATTTGCATTTCCCCTGTTATGGGTTGGGGGGAAACAGCAACAGTAAGACTGCGCACAGGCCAAATCCCAACGCGATCAACTAACTTTCAGGGACATGGTCTTTTTTTCTCGGGAACAAGGAAGTCAAAAACCTCTCCGAAACCCCACTTAGTAAAGAAACAGACTCCCAATACAGTCCTGTTATGGGTTGGGGGGGGGGTCACTCCGATCGATCCAGCTCAAACACAGGGATGATTCTGAATGTTGTTGTTGATGTTGTTTTGCTGTTGTTATTTTTGTTGATATTGTGGCTATGTTGAATGTTTACTGGACCTGTCAGTGTCCCATTTATAATCTTAGTACACGAGGAAGACGTCTTGACACATGCTTATTCAAAAAACTTTGAAGATTAAAGGAGATTATGTCACTTCTCTTAAAAGTATGGTATTGGAGGTGAATAGATCGGACGAAACACAACTGACGTTCCTTGCGCTAAGGAGCTCTAAATGTAAGGAATTATCCTGCATTACGAGCCTTATGTCCTTTGGTTTTTAAGTCCTTGCGTTAATTAAGAAATATACGTTTGATTCTATCTTTTATCGAGCATTCAACAATTCTTGCCAGAATCACGTACAAAACCTCGCTAGGAAATGTATATACACAATTGTGGATGGAAATAGACCAATCAGAAATGCAAGCACGTGACTGTTGAGGTTGCCGAATCAGTGCCGCTTGCCTATTGAGAATTTTGCCAATGGAGTCCTAAGGTGTAGATAGATTCCAACAAAACTGCTAGATGGCACGACGATCGGGCAATAATCCGAAACATGTCGCTTTTATTGTTTTTTACACAATCTTTCGAAATAAAAGACAAAGACACGACTCATTATGAAGTGAATAAATACTTTGCATTTTAACACTTTGAAAATATGTTGCTAAAACGAACATCTAAAATTAAACCCTGAATATACTTTCCGTCATCTAAAATAACTTTTTGCCACATTTAGTATGTAACGCAGTTTGAAATTCTGACCTGCAAAGCAATTTTTAATGTAAGAATAAGTTTGGTTGAATATTTTTTTATGTTTTGGTGATATCTTAACTGGCTGAGTAGCGAGAAGTGTTCGAGGAGTCAACTGTTTTTGCTTTGATGCAACTATGTTAAAACTCTTCCAATCCAATTTGCTAAACTGTGGATCTTTTATTTCCAACAGCTTTAAAGCAGCTGAAAGATCGTCAGACATTTTCAAATATTTTCTTAGGGTGCTGGATTTCTATCAGCATATACCGAAATTGTTTAAGAACTTTGGCAATATTCGCACAAATTATTATTCGTTTTCACGTTACCCAGTGTAAGGGTCACTGAATACTTTTTAGGCTAGAAGATTTAGCCAAAAGTAGGTTTTGCCAAAAAAGGAATAATTTTCTCCTTTATCCCCTGGAAGGGAAGCTTGCACTTGAAAAGGGCAACAGGGGTTAAGGGCCAAATAGGGAAAATGCCCAATTTCGTGAGTGCAGTGGGGGCCACTGTCACGCTCCCCCTCTGGTGCAGGCGTTCTTCTTCTCTGGTGAGAGATAGATGCTACTTTTCGATGGAAAACGAGATTCCTGTATGCGTCATTTATCGCCCGAATGCTATTGTTCAATTGAGAAAGAAAATGCCAGAGTGGAGCATAAAATGTGATAATTATTGTGATTGTTCAACCCTGACATGGTACTTGGGAAGAAAACTTTCTGGTGAAGGACACTCTGTTTTGTTAAAGCTTTGAAATAGGTTTTTAAGAAATTGAAAAAAATTGTTAGCACTTATATTTCGTAAGCAAATTGACGGGTTTTAATGATATGTTTATGAAATTCCCTTTTTTTATTTAAGGATTAATCACTGATTGTTGCGAACAAGGAAGAAAGATTGGCAATAAGATGCTTGATGGACCTGTTTGTATTGAGAAAAACGTGAACTACGACGACGTAGGAAGAGTCAGCAAGGACATGTGCAAGAGAGTCTTCTTGTCATGTTGCAAGCACTCTGCCATGGAGCAAAACTGCAAGCTTGGCGTGCAATCGGCCATGTGAGTAGATTGACAAACCATGTATAGAAATATGAATTTATAACTCTTTTTTGAAATGAAGATTATATCTAACAATAAATGAAACCCATCAAAGGTTGTTCTTTTACGTGTTTTTTGACCTCCAGCAGTTAAACATTTTTGCTTATTAAATATAGGAACGTCAAAGCTTGATGGAGTTTACAAGCTTTATCAGAGCAATTGCACTTTATATTTGCCTCTGTTTATGCAAAAGAAATTTCTGAATTCCAACTGTCAGTTTTTCTTTATACGCAAAGGAGTTTTGACTAGCAATGGACCAACACCTCTAACATACTAAATTTCTTATAATTATGAATCCTTGAAGTTTTATTTTCTTGAAGAAAAATTTCTTGTGAGAAGATCTTTAATTCATGGGGAAAAAATCCTATTTAATCATACCTGCAAAGATAGATGGCGGACATGACAAACCTCAGTCTGAAACTGCGTTTTGTGTATTCCTCTTTTACAAGGGACACTAGTTAATGCTGTATCGTTATTCTCTAGAAACGGCTACGACTGTAAAGCAGGGAAAGAAATGGGCGGTAATTTGAAAAAAGACTGCTGTATGTGTTGCAAACAGGGTTTCCTTGCTGCCAATCGTGGTCAGCCATGTGATGAAAAAGACGGAGACATGATGTGTGTTGATTCGTTTACAGCATGCTGCAATAATGCACGGCTCAGCCTAAAAACTACTGCAGGTAATAATGGCAGCTTTCATCTCAAAACTATTTACCTGTTCTCAGTAGTTAGTCAGTAGTGAAACATTGATGCAAAAAGTTTAATTTATGTTTTACCTTATCTTCTTCATCTTAAAGTTAAAAACTTGATTTTAAAATGGGCGTTGTCAACATTTTCCACGCACCTAAAGGGTGTGTCGTCAAAACCAATTTATTATCTAACACCTTATATATCCTTACTTGCCTGTGCCATAATTTTAACCTCGGATTCACTAATGATAACTAGAACCAACTGCTTTAAGAACAGTTAATTTAGCAGATAATTTTACGTGTAAAAAAGCTGAATCAACATTCTTGTTATATTCACGTCAACAACTTGTTACAAAGAGTTTTCAACAGCAAAATTAGTTAAAATCTAATTTGTCAATGAACAACCTGTGACGTCATATATGGAGAGTTTTTTAGAATTAAGTCCGGAGAAAGCCTAGGGGACTTGTTTGTTTTTTATAACCTTGTTAAAATATCATGTTTTTCAGCTGTGTTGCTTAGCTCGAATATTCCTTCCATCGCAGCCATTGCTATCAAAATGAAATATATTTTTGCATATAATTTCGCAGCTCCTGTTTCTGCTGCACCAGTGAAGGCCGTCAATTGCAGCGCTCATGGATGCCAACAAGGATGCGTCAAAGAAAATGATGGGAAGGTGAATTGCCAATGTAAAAATGGTTACAAGCTTAAAGAAGACCAGAAGTCGTGCGAAGGTACATTCGTAATGATATCGAAATGATAAGCCAGAGATAAAATAACTATATTTAAAATGAAATCACCAAGAACAATGCAATTCAAGCCCTAAAGTGAAAGACTTTTCTCATAGAAATTTATAAAGCATACACCAAATTAGATAGACATACCTTTTAACAATGAAAACCTTCTCGGGATGTATCAACATTTTCATAGAACCGTTATTTAGAACGTTGCAAAAATGACCCATCTTAACCATTTTGACACAGAACATTATTCCTGCTTCATTAATGTTAGTTTTTCTAATTCAAAACGAGCAGCCCACTTTTGAAGGTAGATTACCATCTTTTGCTTTATCTTGTCATTTTTCTGTAATAGATATCGACGAGTGCGCAGAGGGCACAGCAACTTGTGATCCTGGAAGTATGTGCCAAAACGAGCCTGGAATTACATGTGTATAAAGCGAGTGGACATTAAAGAAACACCATGTCCACAAGCTGGTTACGTACGGAACGCAAAGGGGGTGTGCGTTGGTAAGATCTTTTATTCTGCTTCTAGTTGTATAGATGTTCCTTATTGATTTTAGTGATGGAAAAATAAAGATTTTTGAACACATATATATTGAAATGTATTCTTTTGTTCGAAGTTTTATGTACGTAGTAAGAAATGCAACCTGCAATCAAAGCATCTATCATTAGACTGTATCAGCACTTACTGTATATATTTCTTGTATCAGACTGTATATATTCCTGAGACATAGCATTGTCTCATTGTAGTATTGTGAACTGTCATTGCTTATTTTAACAAAAGACAGAATGATAATACATTAAGTAGCAAAAGTTTCGGTGGGATTTCTTTTCCGTTAAGTAGGGTAACCAAAAATTAATCCTACCAAATGTTTTTGAAATCGAAATTTTTTCTTACCGAAATTTTCAAACGCTAGAAAAATCTCGTTTTTAATCGATGGACTTTCAAAAAGCAAAAATCATTTTTCTTGATATTGCTTGAGTATTGCTATACATCCATCCGTAATAGTTTTAAGTTTCTGGTTCTCCGTCTTCAACAGATAGGATATTCATCTCGTCTTCACTTTCTTTCCTTTTGCCACCTACATCCAAGAAATTCAAGTTCTCTACGGGCTAAACTGATGCTTCTACTGGCTCTTCCTTATTTTTTTAATTGTTTCTTTCTAACGTCCCAGCGGTTTTAATTGTGACGCCTCTTCTTTTACTCACAATCGACGCCTCTTCTTTTACTCACAATCGACAAGAGTTTGTAATCCCCTCGTTCCGGTTGGCAATCGAATATATTGCGAACTGTTAATTTTCCTCCTTGGGCTATAAAAAATAGAATAAAAAGGCCTTCTCTAAATAAACAAATCATGTAATTCATACCTGTTGTCCAGTTTTATCTATTTGTCTGTAAAATATCCAATTTGTGTCACTTTTATGATTGCGTTCCAGATTGTGTTTCATTTCTTTAATCGCCGAAATTTTCTCTCCACAGAAATTTTTTAAGCTCTCACCGAAGTTTACAGTGAAATTTAGAAAAAATAAAACTTTTTCCACCGAAAATTAATCCACCGAAATTCTTAGCACCGGATTTTTTGGTACATAATGTAAGCTTTATACACAGAAAACGGATATTTTCATTCTTTGACAGATCCACTGGTGAATTCCAATTGAATCCAATCCAAGCAAAATCTTAGAAGTAACGCTAAACCTAACCTCAGCTTAACCAATTGATACGGGACTCTTTCTAGATTGACCTATAAATCTCTCAAGGGCTAGATTTACTAGTCTGGAACACAATCAGTGAATATTATTGAATTGAGGGAGGTAGTGACCAGATATTTGCGGATGTCAAGCTCAATTGACTGACACTGTCCTCTAATCCTAAGGGAAATCCAAGAGGTTTTTCAATAAGAAATAGAAGCAATTTATAGTGTCCAAGTAAGAAAGTTTTCAGAAGCTTTGAAATTTTTTGTAGTGGGATAGTTGAAATGATACCTTTGGTTGAATAGTGCAACTTGTTTGACAGAACGGGTGTCATATTCTTTTCGGTACCCTTGTGCAAAACAGTCCAGGTACAAAACCCTTAGCAATTCTCACGTATGCCCGTTAGAAAACAGTAGGGTACAATGATTAATAATGCATTTAATTATTCAAAATGTCTGGGTTTAAAAGAAATGCTCTTACATTATATGTTTTAAATCTGTGTAATTTCTTCGATTGATACTAGTCGCAGTTCAAACAATGTATTCAGATGGCCAACTTAATATACCTCGGTCTTATTGTGCAAAAGTGAAGCACAATGGGCCTAACCAACTTCATATGAAAGTTTGAGAGAATATCAGCCATCTTAACCTAAAAACTTTTATGGAAAACTTTTAAATATAATATAAGATATAAGAACATGATAGAGCCAGGGGTGTAGTGCTATCAAATTAGTAAGAGAGGGTCTTTGCCTACTTTTTGACATAAATACCCCTAGCACTACTTCCCTCGTATTTCCACGCAACAACTGGTATTATGAATCACCAAGTCGAAACGCAACTGTGATCCATAGGAGATCCCCCATCTCTATACATAAATGAAACGCCACGCGTTCCAGAGGTTACACTTTGGCGAAGGGTACCAAAACGCATAATACACACTGGTTATATACCGTCCACTTGTCTAAATGATCCAGAGTTTGGTGCTCTAAAAGCAAAAATGTGTGTTTAATGGCCTTGCTGTTGTTATTCTATGACTGAAAGGAAGAGCTTCAGTAAGTAGCAAGCCTTTAAAGGATGTAATTTTTGTATAAACTTAACTGCTTGAGTATCTCGTCGCTCTTCTAGATGTAGATGAATGTGCTTCTGGCACGGCGAAGTGTGGTGACAATCAATATTGCATCAATACTGATGGTTACTATGCATGCTTTAGAAGTTGCCCATACGGATACAAGGCTGTTGGAAAGACATGCCTAGGTAAAGGCAAAACCTACTGCATGTATTAGTAGAGATTCTAGCCAATTACAATCCACTTATTACTGCATTCGCTAGCCTTGCATTTCTGTCATTTTATCTATCAACTATTCATCAGACAAACCTTCAATGGACTCTTGTTCAGTTATTGCTGAATTTTTGTATATATTAGCAACAACCGTCTTATCAGAAGATCTAAATATCTAATGATTTTTACTCTTTTTGAAATTTTACTTCTCTTTAGGGTTTCCTTGTAATAATCTCCAATGGGATCATCAAAATTAATGCAAGGGTATCTGAGCCAATTCTTCTATACATTCAAAGGAAAGCTTTATATAAGTAATTTTTCTGCAAGAAATGGTCACCTCATTATTTTTGCATATAGCTTTGATCCTCTTGGCTTTCAGAAAGTCTTACGTTTCTAATTTTAATTATTTGAAGTACCTACCTAGGCTGTAAGTAAGGTGCTGCCTACCTAAATAGCCTTTTAGCTTTTCAGTGGTGGGAGGGGGGGGGTTGGGGTAGACTTCTCTGTCCCCCCTATTTAATGTCACTACTGCTTTGTATCAAATAGAATCTGATTTTTCTTTCCTTAACAGATATTGACGAGTGTGCGATATCGAACCCTTGTCAAAAGAACTACAAATGTGTAAACATGAAAGGGTACTATCGATGCCAGCTGATATCGTGCGATTCTGGCTTTGAATTGAAAGGTGACAGATGTGTTGGTAAGTATGGCCAGCTATTCCATACGACAGTCTTAGGCCCAAGTTATTGTCACTTCCTTACGATATGTTTAAGCAAAACTGTTTCTAATTAACTGACACAAAAATTGTCAAAACGATAAGCATTGCTTCGAAGCAAAACGAAAATATAAAATATTTTGGTTAAATAAAAAGATTTAAGGGAAATTAGGTAAGTATGTCTATTTAACTGTACCAAGGTACGAAGGAGGTTCTAGTACGATTTGGGCTTTAAACACAAGCCACAAATGTCTAACCTCAATGCCTAATAACTGGTTAAACTTGACGTTGTAAAGATAGAACGTCTTTTAAAAGAAAACCTTATAAAATTACGAGTCGATTCCAATGATTAGATGAGCTTTTGCTCTTAAGGATTATTTAGTTAATGCTTCCCTAATGTATCATCAAAATAAATTTGCATACTTAGACTAAAATGAAACCAGCTTAAAAGAACTTACCTTATTTAGAACATGTAGGTAAAAAAGGGTTAAACATTTTTGGCCACATGGAAAAACATAATTTGCAGAAAGTTTTTGCCTATTGTCTGTTGATAAGGAAGCTTGCCCCTCTCCCCTTGCCCCTCTCCCCTTGCCCGACTGCGATCACAATTCCCTTCCCCGTTCTTCATCCTTTGACTCTCTGAGGCTCTTTGGCATCCATGGTCTCCCCCCAAGCTGTGTATCAAAATTGTTAAAGTACCTTGAAATTGGTCATTTGTTTTTTAGATATTGATGAATGTTCAAGGGGACTGCACAACTGCGGAGCCAAGTACACTTGCAAAAACAACAACGGGGGATTTAGATGTCAATTATCTGCTTGCATCAGAGGGTTCAGACTGTCTAATGGGCAGTGCCTTGGTTTGTTTGATTTCCCTGGCTATGTACATAAATGAATTTGAACCTTTGTGCTATTTCGGGTTTGACAAACTATATACCCTATCGACTCAGTAGTTATTTGAACCAAAATTTGATGAATGGCTTTAGATTCCCAACGATCTACAAAGCCCGAAAGATAACCAATTTTCACTATATTTTTTGTTTTTCTAGATTAATATAAATTGTAATTTACTGCTTATAAGGGTCATGCTGCTCACCCTAAACTAGAAAGGATGCACAGAGAAGAGGAGGGATAATTATTGTTTGTTTATATTCTCAATGTAGAGCTTACAAAAGAACATTATTTTTCTCACAACCAAGTTATAAACGGTAAAGTACAGGCTTGAAATATCAGACAAGGAATCAGGAAAGGCATAACATGGAGAAGAGAGCAGTCGATATACTTTACGATCGACACAATAATGATCATTTACTGAATAAAAGAGTTATCAATATTGTCATTGTCAATACGTTTTTTTCGAAGATATTAGAATAATCTGTTACATTAATCATTTTTAACGCTCTTAGAATTAGCACAGTCTACAATAAAACGAAAGAAAATTGCAATGATACCACAACCTGGAATCTCATTCTTGCTGGAATGTCAAAACTTTTTCACTTACAGACATCAATGAATGTGTGGAAACGCCAAGCATTTGTGGTAGAGGTACTTGCTACAATACCTATGGAGCATTTTCATGCAACTGCTTTGCCGGCTTCCAGTTTAAATCAGAGACTTCCAAATGTGAAGGTTAGATTGTTTCTGGCTTTATCCTTACTGCTAGTAGGACTTTCACGGGAGGATGTTTACTTTCTTCCCAAGCCTGCGTTGACTACAATTATCAGCTTTACTCAAAAGATGGGCAGTTGAATTTTTGTCCATACCTGAGCGAAAATTCTTCTTCCCCTACTTTCGTTTCACATTCAGAGGAGAGCCGAATGAAAGCGGAAGTAAAGTTGATGAGAAAATTTACTGGGGCTATTACTAGGCTAAACTAGGACTAGTGAAGAGATACTTTACTACATTTCTCCTTTACGCAGAGCTGTGAACGGTCGGTAAAAATCTGAACCCGAATCTGAACCCGAATCTGAATCTGAATCTGATTCTGAATCTGATTCTGCAGACACGGAAGTAAATGCTTATCAAAATTCACTTGTCTTCAAAGCATTAATTTTTTATCAGATATTGATGAATGCAAGAGAAGTCCAGGCATTTGCGAAGCAGGCTGCATGAACACGGTTGGCTCTTACAAATGCAGTTGTCCTGCTGGTTATCGGTCATTTGGAAATAATTGTGAAGGTGAGGAGTTAAATAAAAAAATTAACACATTATCTTTGAGTATTGCTTTAAGAATCTTGGAAAGAAATTCGAGAAAAATAAAGAAGCAACGTGTGATATCACTTTCTGGACTGCCATCATATTTTTAGAAATAAACACATCAAAGTTCATTTTAGGTAAGGTGATAAAGTTCCTTAAGTATTAGCAAGAGGGCTATTTCTAATTTGATTCTTTACATTCAGTTTAAACATAGCTTAGGTAAATGATAGATTTTATGATATTAGAAAATTAACACATATTCGTGGTCGTACATTATGGAGCTTAAAATTGTAGTTCCAATGAATTGAAACTAGACATGTTTCAAGTAGCGTATACAAATTATACAATTGAACAGATTATAAATAGCCAAGATTTGGAAAAATTCATATCGGTATTTTGATAGTATCGTTTCAATTTATATGATTTTATCAATTTCATGTAAACAATTTCCTTGTTAAAAGCAACGAACGAAGCTGAAATCACTAAATCTTTTAAAAGTTTCAATTTTTATTCATCTTTTGAATAAAATCACTGAACCCTATGTCAAGATGGAGCAAAAAACTCTGCATCATTACAATTCTCAAGCTTACTACTTAATTACTAATCGAAATGCCTTCCTTTGTTTTGTTTTTACTATATAAATTCGAACCTATAGCCGCACGGGTATAAAAATCTTATTAACAAAGACACAAAGTCTAAAAAAACAAGCTTTTGATTACATAAATTTCATCATTTTTGCTAAGTTGTACTCTACCTCTTCAAATATCAATTGTTTGTCCTGTGCTTCTTTTGCTTTAATTCTTGTTCTTTGTTTTCGTGGAGTCTTATTCGTGCAAATTTTCTCACTTTTTAATAGATATCGATGAATGTGCAGTGTCTAAAAACAGATGTCCAGCCAATCACGTATGCGTCAATGAATTTGGCAGCTTCACTTGCATCAACGCCACTTGCCCAAATCAATACTACATACAGAGAAGTCCTTAGTAAGAAGGCCAATTTCATTCATTGAAACCTTTAAGTTCTTCATGTTTTGCTTATATTTATTTGGAATGGCTTTGAAAAAAGCAAATATTTAGTTAACTAAAGCTTTTCGTCTGACACTCTTCAGAGTTTAAAACGTCAGAACATAGAACATAAATGATTGCTTTTTTCAAAGCAAACACAAAAAGATTGTTTATATTTATTTATCTAAGTATTTATTTCTTTATATTTATTTTTGTTTTTACATTTGTTTTCTTAATTTCTAGTGAATGTCGACTGTATTGTCCTGGAAACCACGGTGCCTGCTCTGACTTGGTGATCAGATCAATAAAATGGAGGACACAGAAGTTCAGAAAAGCAGTTGACCCAAGAGGCTTCACGTTTCAGTATTCACTTCGTGTTTCTACTTATCTTAAAGTTCAGATTAATTTTTCTCTGGTATCAGGTAAGTTCACAGCTAATCGGTATTTAATTCAATAATTTGGGTCTTTTGTCAATCCATTATCCACAAACCCATAAAAACTTTTACCCCAGGCTTTTCTTTTTTAAAATGCAATTTTAGATATATTTTAAGGCTGCATTATATAAAAAATCTTGACTTGAAATTTTCGGTAAAGTAGTTGTAGGCTAGCCCTAAGCCTGTATGATGGAGAATTTGTGAATCTACATTCCTAATAAGATAAAGTTTATAAAAATATTATGGCTGGAAACATGAAACAAAGTAATTGAAGAAAAAATTAGAATTTACCAAAGTATAAACTTTTTCTTCAGATTCATAGCAAAGTTATTTAACGAGTAATTTACATGTATCGAGCTTTTTTGTAAAAATTGGGCCTTGGTGACTTTAAAGAAAAGTATTTCGTTTTAAATGCACTTCTCCTGAATGTTAATATTGCACTTTAAATGCACTTTTGCTAAATTCCTATATTCATTAAAGTCAAGACCCTTGATGCTGCTTTACAAAGATTGAAAGGAAAACTTTTGACTTCAAATTCCAAGAATTTGGAAGTTTCGCCAAAACTGTGGTATTCTTGTAAAGCTAACTGTCCAGCTTTTGTCATCGAACCTCTGCTGTTAACTGTTAGTATTCCAAACCTTGCAAATTTTCTTGTAGGAAATGAAAACGGAGAATTCTTTCTTCAAAGACTGAACGAGAATACAGTCGATCTTATCAACATTAAGAAGCTTGTTGGCCCGAAAAAGTACACATTGAGACTTGACACAGATGTTATGTTCAAAGGAAAAGTCTCAAGCAAATTCGTGTACTTCATTTACTTGTCTCTTTCCAAGTACAATTTTTAAAACTTTACAACTACGTTCTCTGTCCGACTCTCCAATCATTGCAGTAATGTGTGATTAGAGAGCATTATGGCTTGTAACCTATGCCAGATTTAATCGTCTCTGTACGTTTTGATTCTTTGCAAAGCAATGAGTGTAGTACAAATGACTTTTTTACCACTTGCTTGCTTCATTTTCTGCGTGTCTTTTGATCGAGCTTCACTACGCGAATTTTCTCATTGCAAGCTTGCTGGGTTGTGCCTTAACTCCAAATCTGAATTGGTTAGTTGGTACTTTATATTTTATTTCTCCATAAGTTTTGTTGAACAATTAGAATAGGCACTTATGGTCTATTCACTTGTTATTCTGCTATCTTTCTTTATCAAAACGTGAAAGTTTAATCCATCCAATTCAGCGTCTCATATGGACTTGCCACAAGTCTCTCAAGTCCACGTCTCATATTTATATATATGAAAATTGTGCTAGGCATTTTTTTAACTTAAAAGCGGAAATGATATATGGTATCAAAAATAAAGTGATCGAGCAGATCAAACACTTAACACAACAATGAAAAAGAAAATTTGTTTTTGACTTCCATCAAACTTCTTCCAACATCGCCTGACGTGTTATGTGCCAAACAGGCCCAAAATTTCATCAAACATTTGTTTTTATAAATTTTAGGTGAGATGTTCGCTCTGTTTGACCAGGACAGATGTTGAACAGAGTCATCATGTCTGGCAAGTGAACAAAAAATTTGACTACTCTACAATTTCAGCAATCGCAGCACCAAATTTAATGCTTTTTAAATTGTTCTCTTGATATTATCAGTTAAACAAACAAAATTAATCCAAAATTTTGAACAACGAATTTTTATTTCACATTGACTTTTGAAATGTGTAGCTGCAAATGTCTGACTGGTTTACACTTAGACCGTTCTTAATTTTTAATTCACCGACACTTGCTGATAGATGCAAAGATCTAGTCTAGAAAAATAATCTCAAACGCATCAATTTGCAAACAAAAAGATAAACAAGATTCAAGAAAGGGCAATGAAGATTATTAATCAAGATTTGAACAACTTTGAATAAAGAAGTTCTCATAAGAAAAATTTACAATATCTTCGATAGAAGTATGTAAAACATTTAACGGTTTCAGTCCACCTTGCGTGGATGGAGAACCTTTTTTGATAAATGAATTCCAATATATTGGTTTGATCAAAAGTGTCATGTGTACTGCAACAAGATTTGTTTGCTAAATTACGGCCCATAGAATTTTGTTTAAAAATTCAGTCAGTATGCTTTTCAGATTATGGAAAGTTTTTGTCACCTATCAGTGGCGGATCCAGCCCAAATAACCGCAGAAATGAGATAGAGGATCGACCACACCCTTTAGACCACACCCATTTCCTGGTCACACCCTGCTTTCTAAAATAAAATAATCTTATTCAATATTATGAGGATGAATATTCTAACGAAATTACGGCATTTAGCCGAAGAACACCATAGAATTAGAAAAAAAGATACATTTGGCAGAATTTGGAAATGTCGCCCAAAACTCGCATTAAGTTGCACAATTACTTGTGAAAATCAGACCTTTTGGAAATTATAAGTTTAAAAAGCCAGATGAAATTTGCAATTATTAAGAGCAACTTTTATTAAACAAAGAATAATACTTTTGGCGCACTTTGTGGGCCTGACTTTTAATGATGATGCCTTCTTAAATTTTAAAATATTTGAGTCTAAATATTCTTATAAAATATATTCCTACCAATATATGTGTATTTTACAAATACACATCGTCTTTGAAGTTACAGTTTGCCCACTTGCAGAATATGTAGGCATCCCCCCATCTTTCTGTAACATTTGAGCCGTGTTGAGCGGCAGTACTACTCAACCCCCCATCTGAGCGGTAGTCAACTCGATTGTTCATTGGTTGATAACAAAATTTGTATGCATCCCCCCAGGTTGGCTGTAATTTCTGATGATTTGATTGGTCTAGGCAGGCTGACTACCGCTCAGTTCAGCTCGAATCCGCTCTACACCGATTCAACCCCCCTAGCTAGCAAGCCAAGATTTCATCATCCCCCCCATGCTAACCTTTTTTTGCAAGCATTTGACTCAGCCAATTGGCACGCAATTTCCATAGCGATAAGGACTAAAAAGTATTTCTGTCTCTGTGGCAATTTCAGGCTTCTAGGAAAGAATGCTTGTTTGCAGCGCCATCAAATATTCTCAATTTTTAACTATGGTTTAATTGAAGTGGTAGGAAAAACATGAAAATGATCCTTGTTTTAATAATTTTTTGAATAATCTGACTACCGCTCGAGCGGTAATGGCGGTAGTCTGGATCCGCCACTGCCTATGCTATTTCAAAGATTTCTCAACAGTAGCATTCATATTAGAAATTTTAAAAAGAATTCATGCGTCAGGTTAGTATCTGGGTACGTCACCGAAATCTATACTTTTGTGCCAGAACTTACTTGAAAAAAATACTATTGCTGAGGATAATGTAATCTAGTTGGGTGCCCCAAAGTTAAAGAAACCTTGTTTGAACGACAGGGGCGTTGCTAGCGACGGGTGTAATCTACAAAGTCCGTAGTTTGTCGGTCAAATTGTCTATCAGTAGGTGAAATAGCACCTAAATTCTTCTCCATCTTTGTCTTCGTCGGTAAATTTGTCTATTGATGACCCTCAACCCTGCGAGGATGGCTCAGTTGTTAGAGGCGCTGATTACAGCCCAAGGGTCAGTGGTTCGAGTCCCTGGCATGACCAAACTTTCACCAAGAGTTGGGAGAGTCGCCAGCTCTCTGTAATTCCAGGCGTAGGAATCACGAGGTGTGGTCACATCGAGAGGAAGGACCAGGACACTGCTCGATAAGCATAGCTTCTCAGTGTCTTAAAAACTACCTGCGGATGCTAGGTAGCAACAAATACAAATACAAACCCTCCGAGTCTGGGAGGTCAAGCGACGCTACTGTTGAACGATAATAAATGTTGGTCTATCCAAGGGTATTGCCTTGCAAATGTTTTAAAATGCCCTGCTAACCATTTGGGTAGCTTGGGGAAGAGATTTCCCGACAAAACTGTCCTCTACAGTAGATTCGGTTCTTTGTTGGCTTGTATCTTTTTCAAATCTGCATGTTAATTTCTCCACAGTCATGATTTCTCAAGCGCGCCGTTTTTTTAAATAAACCTCGTTTTGATTATGTTGCCAAATATACATATCATTGCAAATGTACCATGGATGCTGGAAGGTTCCAATGTGGAAGCTGCTGGTACAGCCCATACGCCAGACTTTTGCGGTATCTTGCACCTGTAGCATTGACACTGATAGCAATTGATATTGGAGAGCAGGTATGCTTGACTCATCCTTGGGACTGTTTGAACTGAGTCCGTGTTTTTCTTCTTTTAACTGTAGGCCTTATCTGCACCCAGTCTGCTCTACCTGCGTGGCATTTGCACACACGAGGTTTTCATTCATTCAAAGTTTGAATCAAACTGCAGTTTTTCTAATTTAATGTTACATTAAACTATTACTTTTAAAATCATCAAGTAGAAAGTTTAAAATCATAAAACAATCAAAATCATCATTAATGTTTACAGGTTTTAAAATCCATAAAATTCTTGTTCGTCATCTGTTTCATCCACAAGATTCACAATGACTACAGGAGTGTGCCCTCCAATTAAGAGGATGCATGTAAAAACCTTCCATTTGGGAGTGAAAAACTTTTGTCAGGTATTTTTCTATTGCCATGGACGGATTAAAGTAATGATTTGGGGGGGGGGGGGGGGGGGATTTAAGTAATGATGGAAACACCCATTTTCAAAATCCTTCTTTAAATTTAAGGTAAGGGAGATAAGAAGATAGATAAAGTAAAATTTTGGTGTTATTTTGGTACTACTGCCTACCGAAAATGATTTTTGCTGAATGGAAGCAAAATTTACAGAAATATTGGGGGGGCTGCACCCACCCCCTGCTATATCCGTCCCTGTCTTTCACAAGTTTATTGTAATATTTTGTCTATAAAATGACATTTTGTTTTCAAAAGGAAATGATGGGACAGTCAATGTTAACATGTATAAGTAGCACCCTTGAACCTAAATGCCAATTTGAGTTCAAAAAAGCTACATCTTATTCATGGGAAATATGGTAGTTTCTAACAGCCTCAAACATCCTTATACTCAATTCTTCTTCTTTGAATATGCATTCGCATTTAGTTTTCCAAAATGATGTAAATGCAAAAAAACCCAATTTTATGTATGCAAATGTTTAAGTACACACCTTTCTCTTACTTTAGAAAATGTTTTTAGGCCTGTAGCAGTCAAAATTTTCTTATTCTGCCATTGCCTTGCTTTCACTTGCTTATTCTGGCATCTGCTTCCAACAGTGAAGGCATGCCATCATTTGCTTGCTTTTATTAATGTCTCTTGTCAATGGTTGGTGTCAAGTATAATTTGGTATTGTATTACTCTATGTTTGAATCAATGAAAACATTGATAAAAAATGATGAATTTCTTCAATTTCTCAGGGGGTATGTTCTATTGTTCATATTGCTGGATCATTGCTGCACTGAAGGTAGATTTTCGGATATATGTAAATTTGGTTAATATTTTAGGCCCTAAACAGAGCACTAGCAAGTTCCTTTGATGCCGTTGATACATTGGCTAGCTTTGGAATCTCATATGTCATTATCAAATTGGCAACAGGTGCTTTGTCAGAAATTAAAATGGTCAGCATCATGCTGCTGCACAATCACTCAGATAGGAGAAGAATAGGGCTATGTGTCTTAATTTCTGGCTTGTGTGTTGTACTGTTTGCACTCATAGTTGGTATGTCATATATTTTTATTTCTATAAAAGCATTTTTTGTTTATACTCCATTGGTAAATAATTTTAATAGATAAACTGGTATTTCACATTTATATATAATCTGGTAGATGGCCCCATCCAGGTCTCTTCCTTTAGGCACATATTATTTCACTATGAGGAAGCCCTGAATGCCAGGCTAAAAAATTATGTATATATATTTTAAATCATTATTTCAGTTTTTTCATGTTACATTGTTGGCTGTTTACTTTTTTTCAGTTTTTCATATTGTGGAATGTATTTTTTTAGTCCAACGGGCAGTCCTGTTACCATGATTTTTACTTTTTATTATTTGCACATAATACAAACTTTCAAATTATTTGGTATTTGAGGCTTAGAGAATCATTTATATGTTGTAAAAGTAATCGTTTTTCATAAAAAGTATTCCTATCATACCATTTTTTTCATTAATTGATGTACATTATTTGCTGTTCATTCCTTTCAGCTTTTACAGACTTCGGATTTTACCTAATTGATGAAGTGCACAGAGTACCCCCAAATATTGGACAGCTTGCAAAAGACACAATCTTATACCTATCTGTATTTCCATTGGTTGATGGTATTGTAAGTGTATAGTTGATTTTCATAGTGATATCAATTATGTACCAATTATAGCTAATTTTTTCATTATATCTACATTATCATACTTTATCTACATATCTATATCTACATCGTACCCCCTGAAGAAAGGGTCTGTCAGGAAATTGCTACTGTTGTTGGCAATCTGCTTCACAAAAAGTTCAGTTCTATGGCCACACCTACTGTCATCTTGTTGACAAATTTATCTCTCTAGTGAAATTTAGTCTCAATGGCCCTGGTCTTTGATAACGATGCTATGTTTTTATCAATGTCTGTTTTAAAGATTGTTTAGAAAAGAAATTGTGAGGATCAAATTGCAGAATGCTTTTTCTCATGTGTGCTTGTCTAAAGTAATGTTTTGTTTGAGCACTAGTGTATGAAATGTGACTGCACAAGCTTTTTATATGCAAAAATATATACCTGTACATATATTCCAGATTGCGTTGTCTATTCTGACTCAAAAGTGCTCAATGTGCAAATGCACAGAGCAATAGATATAGTAGAAGATAGGCTAGAAATGAGACATGTTCTCTGTTACTCTAAGTTTCTTGCTTGCGCACTCATCAGACAGACTGTAATCTAATTATAATTTTAATCATAATTCTAGGCATGGCTTCACACTGGTGTTTTGCTTAGGTACAAATACAGCTTAACAGTCGGTGGAGCATCGGTTTTAGACAATATAGTCCAGGTAGTGTTCCTTACAAAATCAACAATTGATTAAATTCATTATGAGTACTTATTACCTATTTTGTATCAAATTGTGTTTATATCCTTTCTTATGAATGGATTTGTACTTTCCTTCAGGTTATAACTGTTGTTGCACTTTTGCAAACAAGTCTCTCAAGGACAAAGCCAATCCTGATTCCTGTTCTGGCTACATATTTTGGCACACTTGCGAGACTCCTTGCCGTGACAATTGCTTATTACAAACATGTTCATCACCAGCTTGGTGAATACACTACAGTGGACTCTCCATCTAGAGTCGAGGTTTATATCTAGATATATTTCTTTCTTAATGACAATCAACAGAATGTAAAGCAGCTTAACCATTTTTTTGATCAACAGTTGGCCAATCAAAAAGTATGATAACGCTCACAAGCTTATTGATTAGCAAATAATTGATTGAATTTTTTTGACTGATGGCTTAAGCCACTTGAGTATCTGTGTATTGCAGTCCTTTTCGTTTAGCGCGTGCGATCGCACCCGCACACGCCTGCACACGCGCAAGTTAAATTGCGCGTGCTTTTGACCACACGCGCAAACAGGTGTTTTTGCAGTTTTCTGTTAAAGGGCCTATCCAGCCAAATTTTGCACTTGCATTTTATTGGCAATTTTTATATTGAAGTTGAGCCTGCTGATCACGAATTCGTTATTTGTTTTTCGATATTTTTTACAGTTTGTGAGATATAAGCTCTTGCATTTCGATAATTTAATTGAATTAAACGACAAAAATTTTTGGTTTGGTGACACTGTGACGCAATTTTGACGTCACAGTGTATTTCGGATAGTCTCGCCTCAAACCGAATCGAACGACGGCGATTCGCAAATTGAACACTGCAAGTGATGGTACTTTCAGTTCTGTTCCGCCAGCTTTTAGTTTGAGCATTTCAGACATCAATTCTGAAGCCTTTAGTTGTTCATCGTTTCTGGAGAACAACTGAAGTGACAATTTCGATTAATTATACGCGAGGGAAGAGCTGGAACAGGAACTGGAACTGGATGCAGTTATCAACGCGTGACCATGAGTCCTTCACGCTTCGGTGGAAGATATACGAAATTCATGGCGAACGAGAGCCGCACATTGTGACGTCAGAATGTCACCAAACTGATTCGGCTTTTGTCGTTTTTTTTCTCGGAAAGGTGCAACTTTAAAGCCTTACAACTTCTAAACTAATTGGAATTTTTCAAAAACAATGACTTTGTCATAATACACGCACCAGATGCTAACTTTTAAGTCATTAAAAAAAAATTTTTTTTTGCTGGAGAGGCCCTTTAACATCAATTTCCCATGGTCTCATGATTGTTTATCCTTTCCCTTGTTACTTGATTCGCACTTTTGACCACAATATGATTTTTCCAATTTTCGGAAGTGATGTTTGGCTTTTGACTGAGTGCTCCATTCAACTTAGCGTCTCGTCTTTCAGCTAAGTCGCCATTAGCATGTTAAGTGTAATAACTGATTTCCTGTCAAAACGTAATTAGGCCCTGAAAGCAAGTAGCTGTTGGAAACAATTTTTACTTGCTCTTGTAACTTTGGAGAGTTACGACGACTTTTAAAAGACGGCTGCTAAGGGCAACAAAATCTGTTATGTATTGATTAATTGAGTTTTGCTCTTGCACGTATTCGAGTGGCTTTTTCCTTCTTGCTCCTTTTACCAATTTTATCAGGTTTGTACTTCAAATTTTCTTACAAGTGCGATCGCACGCGCAAATTTGTTTACGTGTGCGATTTGCCACACACGCGTAATTTTGCTCACGAAAAGGACTGGTATTGCCTTTAATCTGGATCAAAGGTTTCTTAAATTTATGAATTTCTTGTAGAGCTTGTTTGAATACAAATGCTGTTGATTTTTCATTGTTTTTAAATCTTATAGCTGCTGTTTTTATTAGCCATCTCTTGTTGGAATAAAAGTTGAAATCCCTGATTCCGGAAGTCAAAGCCTTGCTCAACATTTAAGTCTTAGTTATATTTTTGTAAACCAATAGAAATCATGTAATTAATGATGTAATTTTCACATGAGATGAAGGTCTTTCCAGTATGGCGAAAAACGTATCGTGGCAAATTGCTGAAAATGCTTGCTTAAGGTGCAAAAAGCTGTATATTGCAGTAACGCTCCATCCATGACTTAAACAATTTTCTCTCTCTGGAAGCAATTAGCAGGAACAGAAAACCATTATCTTCAGCAAGAACTAACCATGTACATTGGTTATATAGACCACACACCTCTTTCTTTTAAATAGCCCACTCCTTTCACATTTGTCATGTCTATACCACAAATGCTTACTGCACAAAGAAATCCATTTTATATCGAGTTCCTTTTGTTTAATAGCTGGTTTATCAGAATATATATTTCCAACAGTGTATTGTTAAATATGAGACTTTCTTGCAGCTCAACTAATATTGTTTTACTGTCTTGTTTACTTTCCAGGAAAGAGGAAATAGATTACAGTTCAAAAAAATTCTATCATTCTGGGCGCCACTAGCCTTAGTTCAAATTTGCCAAAGAATAAGTAGGCCTATTGTGAACTTGTTTGTTGCCAGAGATCGTTTAGGGGGAGTAACACGTGAAGAAGCAGTAAAGGTTTGATTCTTCTTCTATTCACTGACTTTATAAGATTGTGATAAGGCTGTTTTTAGATCTCAATGTTCATCGGGTCTGGATTAACCCTGGGTATCAGAGCCCAAGAGTGTTACTCAAATATACTTAGGATTGCTTAGGCTGTTTTACAAACCATCGGGCCAAAAAATAATTTCCATCGGAAACATTGCCCAATGAAAGTAATTTTTTCAGTATGCACAAGAAAGTTTGCAATTTTTCTTTTTTTAAACCTTTTTCATACTCGAGACCCAAGAAATAATTCTGAATTTCATGAACCCAAAAAAGTAATTTTACAAATGACTGACCCAAATGAATAACTGTTGCTCAAATTCTAGACGCAAAATGTAACCTGATCACCCCTATTATCCTTATGTATTTTGAAACCTTTAGTTTCAAATAGCTTGTTACAAGAATAATTTAACAATATAAGTGGTACAATAAGAAAAGGCCTTTCTAAATCGTCGCTTATAAAGGTTTTAGTATCAAAAATATTCTATGAGGATTTTGGCCCAAATAGTAGAATATTCATTTTACGCTTTTGATGTAAAGAGCAGGACGGTTCCAAGTTGCTACTCCTAGTTTCACGCTCAATGCATATACAGCTATGCCTCCAATACATCTAGCACTTCACTGTGAAGCTATCTTTATATTGGACTCTGTTCCTTTTTTAAAGGCTTTGGCTGTTTTGTCCGTCTGCTATCCAATCGGTCATCTACCGTATGGTTGGTTGAACACTCTACGATCTGTTGAACCAGCCTTTACAAAGGTAAAACTTGAATCATGGTTTTGTTTCCCCCACACGATTTTGTTGTTACTAACTTGAATTTGCCTGCTGATAAACCTAAAAATATTTGACAGTATTTGAATCATTCATGATGTTTTTATGACATGACCACGACTCTGAATTCTGATGTTTGAGCTCGGAATTCGACTCTTTAAGTATTTCTCTTATACAGTTATATAAGTAATGCTGTTGTTTTTCTTATGAGACTTAAGATTGTTCTTAATACCTTTAGAGAGAAAATGAAGGAGAGAGACCTGTCACTGTGAAGCATATACGAATCTTCCAGCTGTGCTGTTTTCTTCTGTCAATAGCGGTATGTACTTATCCATCAAACCTCACCATGAAATATAGTAGATTTGCGATTCTAGATTACCAGTAAAAAGCTGACAGATAGATTTAAATACCACATATCGTAAGAAAAGAAGCATGGCTGCTATTTTTTCATATATCAAACATAATGTATAAACCATTCTGCCCATTTCTTCCGTCCTTTAGCAAATTATCAGAATGCAATAGTTCCTGCTGAATATGTTTTTTTACCTTTTTTAGCGCGTTTAAGTGAACTTGCTTAAAGATTTCAATACTAAGGCATTCTTTCAGCTTATGGCAATCTTGTTCTGGATTCCTGGAGTAGCTTCTGCCATACTATACCATGTTAGTGATGTTGATAAAGACATTATTCAGGACGCTGTTGTTGTTCTACACGTGTTTTCCTTTTTCTCTATACCAGGTTGGTAAAGGTTTATTTCCTATTTCTGCAATTTTTGTTGTCATACAATTAGCTCCATTTTCCTGCAATGTATCTTTTTTGTCATCTGTTGGCACATATCCGTCCATGAAATGAAAGAAATCTTCGGATTCTCTAGATCCTTAAAAAGTAATGAAGCACCAAGCAAATGGTATACCTGCAGTCTGTATTCAAATTAAGGAAGGTTTTAATAATTTAAATTGTATATTTGACAGAAAGGTTAAGCAGTTTTTCAGTGAAAATTGTCAGAATTTGGATGAAACATTCTGAACTAACATTTTATGGATTTTGAATGTTGAATTGGATATTCTTTTTTCATTTTAATTTTAGAATTTTTATCTTAATTTATTTATGGTTTTAGTATGGTGTTGGTATTATGTTTGTATGATTTTCCCGTTGATAATATCTTTTTCTTCTAACTAGTGGCAAACAGAGCTGTATTAACCGGGAATTTCGTCGCAAAATCCCAAACCAATTATCTGTATCCAAGTATTCCAGCAAGGGTCATTGCCCTGATTGCAATGCTTTTTATTTTGCCTAGAGTTGGGTATGTGCATCAATTTTTTTTACTTAATGGTTATTCGATAAAAATAATCGTTTACCAATATGTCATATTGTGTTCGATGCCGTTAAAGCAGAACTTTTTGTGAGTAGAGCAGTATGGTTCTCACTTGCGACCCAAAGTTTCATACTTGATGGATGAGACCACCGGGCAACTGTTTATCGGGCTAATGTCCATCTATAACCGTTGATTATACGGTTCAATTGACATTTTCAAAGCTAGATAAATCTTACTCAGGTTTCAAAGTTAATAATATGGCAAACTTTATTTCAGTGTTCACCGATCACTTATGGGTGTTGCAGCGTTGATTTCAGGATTTCTCGCTGAATCCTTATGCAATCTGATAATAACAGCCATCGTCTATTATCGATCAGTAAGTTATCATCTAAATTTTACAATAGCACAGAACAGCCAGGGAAAACCAATTAATTGCTCAATATCAAATCTTTTAACTGATCAGTGTTTGCTGATGATAACTGACTATTTTTTCTGAGATGGGTCCTCTTCAATCGTATCCTTGGCTGCAAAGGCCATATTCTATCACTTATTCTTTTCGTCACCTTGATGTATTTGATTGCCGCCGGCTCTTTGAATGCCATCCTTTTGTTCACCGAACAAACTTGCTCCTCGTTTCGACTTTCTTCGACTCATCCTTTTTTGTAATGTGCTTTTTGCTGTTTCCTGAAAATCTTCGAACTGAGTTTTTATTTTGCTGTTTCCTGAAACTACAGAGATCGAGAGAACCTTGCCAAATTCAAGTAGAAGACAAAGAAATTCAAAAAGAATCAGAACTTTGATCAATTGCAAACCATGAGTGCGATATATTCCAGATGTTTGATGCTGTCAGTATTGAAATGGTTTTAAGGTTTCAGGTAATAGATCTGCAGAAGGTAAGCAGAATAATTGGGACATTGTTATAGATAAAAAGGGCATTTGTTACGTTGCGACGTAACATTTTAGTTCCTTATCCTGTACCTCATAACTAGAGCTTTAGCAATAGCAGGAGGATTCGTTATCCGAATGTTGAGCTTCCTGTCATGCAAGGCAATTTATTCTTGTCAAAAAATGTGGACTTGCGAAGATAGTATCCTAAAGAAAAGCCTTAAGAAAAGCTAAAATGCTAAAATGAGCTAGAAACTCACAGAAATATTTGGAGGTGAAACTTTTTGAATAATTTGAAAGTATAATAAACCGAATTTATAGGTTTTACTGTCAAAGTGATCAGTCGCGGGTGATTGCGGTAGCCAAGTTAAAATATAAGGCCTGATAGATACTATAAGATAATATAAGACATTTTAGATGTTTTAATATTATTGATACAATCGAAATTAAAATGTATATTGTTGTCAAGATTTTCATATTAGTTAGGAAATTAAAGTATATTTGAATGCTCGAAATGTTTTAGAATATTTTTTAGGTTTATAACAATTTCATGAGTATCAAAAGAACGAAGCTGTTATTTATAATTTTATGAACTTGTATGATCTTCTGCTTGATCAAGACTTTCAGAATCACGTGATTTGTTGTCATTTTAACCCAGTCCCAAGTGAATTGCAATTTTTTGTTGATACAGCTAGTTATTTGTGTTTTCCCTGATTTCCTACAGTATATTAAAGTTCAAGTTTCTCATTTTTTACAAAAGCAGATAGGTAAAGATGAACTCAAATTTCATATTTTCTCTAAAAGTGCAATAATTTTCATACATAACGTTTCGGAATAGCTGTTATCTGTCGTCAAATTTATAGACCTTTCTTTTTTTGGTTGGTTTTTATTTCTGTTACTTTGTTTGCTCGTTTGAGGATTTTTTTATTTACTTCCATCTTTATCAACCATGGAAAACACCTTTTATTTCGTCAGCCAATTTTATGACTTAATGAAGACATAATTATCAGCAGCCTTGGTGATAAATTTATTGCTAGATGTTCTCCTCTTTGTGAAGTTAATCTTGAAATAAACCCAAGTAATTGTGTTTGCTCTTCCATACCACCTGATAATATATTTGTCTTTCAATTATTCATTGATAGTGGGTTGTCGATTGATGATTGAAATGAATGATACCAATGTTTCGATGATTCTTGTTTATTATGAATTCTTCCATGAAGGCTACTCAAGTCAACGTTCACAAGTGATGATAAAACCTCTTCACATTATGATCTATAATCATTGTGATCACCAGTCAAGATCATTTTTTGTGATTAATCAGATTCAACCCCAATGATCATCTGGCATCACCCATGATCATAATGAATCATCATGGTCATTATCACGAATCGTTGATCAAGTGAATCGTTATATAGTAGGAATCGGTTTCCTAATTGCATGGGAAACACCTCAAATCTATTTTAGCCCTGTAGCCAGACAAGCATTTCTTTACAATTCATTTAAATTCTTCTTCTTAGATACTCACACCTGACCATCTGTGTAAACAGAAGAACGTCAGACTTGCGAATGTTCCTAAGCCAATAAGGATATCACCCTTCTTTGTTTTCTTTGTACAATCCCTGACATCATAGCTCCTTTGCTTCATGTATGGAGCCTACCGAAAGGCTATTTACCATGAACTTTCTATTCAGTCTTCTTAAATAAAAAAACTACATCCTAAATTTGTTTGACTCGATTTTCTAGATAGCCGAAAAAGTACCCTTTTTAATTTTTTTGGAAATAGTTACTTTTCTCGAAATCATACAATAATTTCGAGTTTTCTTTTGTGAGAGACACCGAAAATGTTAATTTCTTTACATGCATCATCAATAAAGTGTTAAAGTTTATGGATGAAAGTTTGATATAAAACATCCAGACTGAAAAAATTCTCCATTCCCTAATATCCCACCTTTACGCTTTTTTGCTCAACATAAGGCGCAAAAGAAGAACTGAATTGATTTCGAAGCCTGAAAGTTAGTCAGCGAAGCAGATACCCTACTCATCTAGTTTTGCTACAATGTATTTAAACAGTCATATGACGGTTTTATCCCTTTTCCATTAGCGATTTTACGAAGGCAGCTTAAATATTGTCCGGGGGAACAAGAAGCCAGGTTGCCGATCAGCGTTTTAACTTGGTTTACACAGGCCTTCTCTTTGTCAATAATGTACCTAGGATTCTTCACAAGTAACGTTTGCCTAATGAGGCAAATTTCCACCCCCCACCCCCCTCTCGCTTGAAAAATTAAGCAATTTTCATCTTTTTTCAACTTTTATTTGCATTTTTGTTAACTTTTTTCTCCCGTGTAGTTTTTCCCTCCCGTGTAATCTTTTAATTACTGTATAGAGACTTTTTGGAAGTTTTGTATTTGGTACTACCTAGTTTCCAGAGCTTATTGAGAAACTGTACTTATCAAGCAGTGTCCTGGTTCTTCCCTTCGATTTGACCGCACCTCGTGTGTCCTAAACTGGTACGAAAAAGCTATTTTGTACTTAAGGAGCCAATCTAAAGGCACACAGATTTCCAATTGGTCAGAACAGACTTCGGCAAGAAAAGCGTGTTCTCAGGTTTTTTGTATTTGCTCCGGTCCATCTTTTATAACCAAATACAACCGTAGGAGGGTAGAAAAGTTGTTTTTTCAATTTTTGAACGGATATACTTTTATGACTTGCATACTTTAGGATCGCACAAAATGCTTGGTGAATGACGTGATTTCACACAATAATAGAGGGTCACCAGCTCCCTTTCTTTGATTGAGCTGTGTGATGCACTAGCCCTAATAAAATTCTTTGGCACTAAGTAGGAAAGCCTATTGAAGCTATTTGGCTCCACAGTTTATATGTTTGTTATTCCTCAATATTCCAATTCTTTAAAAGATGCTCTGGAAAAGACAATAAAGTAGTAATAGATGTAGCATATTCAGCATTGTGACTGCATCATAGATTTGTTCGTAGAGATCTTAGCATATAGATCTTCAGCTCTGGGTTCATTCATTTTGCTACTCTTGGTGAAGACCCCACAATCACAAAATCCCAGGTGCATGTAAAAGAGAAAGTATACACGGATTTTTAGATGACCATATTCCATATTCTGACGTCACTAAAAACCTTCGTAAACTATAGCTAGGCATAACTCCATTATGTGTTATCAATATGGGAAGAATCATACATTTGATCCATTATCTAGGGACCCTCCTGAATTTTATGTATGAACCAATTTTTGAATTAGTTTCTTTAACGATTGTGTAAACGGCGCTCATGCCTGATAATACTTTATTATTATCCGTTAATTCTCACTCCATTACTTGTATTATGGAGATATGAACAGCCTTTGCTTATGACAACACAGGGTAAAGCTGTCCAAATATATGTGTAAGGGAATACATCAAACACAGATTTATCAGTATCGCATAGCCCATACCCCTAAAGTCAGTTTGGGTTGTTGGGAGCGCTTGAGCATCGCAAGCATGGCGAAATCTTTTCAAGCCTCCTTTCTTAGCGCTCTGGTCTTATGCTGTAGTTTTCTCTCCATCAAAGCTGCGGTGAATTCCCAATGGGTTCAGAGGCTGAACCGGTTCCAGGAAAAATACAATAACAGCAGATCAGATATTATATTCTTACTTGATCTGTCTGGTAGTCTTAGCGATTATGGCTTCCAGATGGAGAAAAAGTTTGTCAACTCTCTTCTCAGTGAAATCAGTGTCCAGCCTATTGCGACACGGTTGGCAGTAGTGACATTCGAGCAGTCAGCTGCCAGGAGAATTGACTACATTGACTACAATGGGCTTGATAAGAACAAGTGCACGTTTTCTAAAGATTTTGCACGAATCAAGCACGCCAAGGGGCCAGCAACTAACATGAATGCTGCCTTTGATCGAGCAAGGAGAATCCTCAACAGCGCAAAGTCTAACGGGAACTTGCGTCAGAATGTGAACACTGTCATAGTGTTGTTAACAGATGGTTGGTGGAATCTTGGTGGCAATCCAAAAGCAATCGCCGAATCACTGAGAAGTCCGTCTTCATTTTATGCAGAGATCATCTCTGTTGGTGTTGGATATGTGTCCCAGTGGCAGCTACGAGACATAGCTGGAATTGATTCAAACGTCATTATGGCAAACTCTTTCACCCAGTTTGAAGAGTTAGCCACCAAGATAAGAGGGGGTATGTCTTTTTGATTACGTTTTTTTATAGATTGTTTTATGATCAAGATAATTATGCTGAAATGGCCCATAAACCCGAACCTAACATCTACGTACATTTTAATGATAGAACAAAGCCAAAAATTAATAATACTTATGTTAAAAAACAGCTCATAGTGTTCTAATTAACAAAGATTCTAATATATTACAATCATTAGTTAATGTTCATATACTTCACTAAGCTAGACTATAGCTTACTTTAACGCTAAAAATTGAGGAAAAAGATAATTTTTGATACTACGCTTGTACCTATATCAAGATCTTGCCTTTATGTATACTTGCACAGATTTGGTAGTAAAATTAATGTGCGCTCAAATGCTTTTGGATGTAGTTCTCCAGACCCGAAGTTTTAAAATTAATGTTCACGATGCCTGAATTTCTTGCTCGTTTTACAGTTCGAAGCCATTTTTTATTCCTTTAGAAGAGAAATGAATTTCGTAGTAGTATAGAAATCTCTTCTCTGTTGTATTTCAGAATTGCACCATCATACAAAGTTTTGATGCGTTTTTGTCCTTTGATATGAACTTTTTCGAAGTACCGATCAACTGATATTTCACTGAACGATGCACAGCTTTCTCATTGATTTGCTCTACAATAACGTTGTCAAGTTCCTTATTTCTTACAGAGCGCTTCCTTAACTCTCCCATCTTAACAGGGTTTAACAAAATGTTGCCGTTGTGTTTGTTTTAAAGTTTTAGAGTCTGCTAGGAAGATGTCCAAACTTATAGTTGTTGCAGTTAGGGCTAAAAATGCATTTAGTTTATACATTTTCTAGATCAGATGGAAAAACTGTACCAGCCTGTTGATGTGACCAAATGTGGTAAAGTATGTGATCAGAATGCCCGGTGTTCTTGCGGTACGATCAGCGGTATCTACCAATGCGCATGCACATCAGGATATTATGGGAGTGGCGATCCAGGAAAATGCTGGCGTAAGTGAAGTGATTTTCTTTTAAATTTTTTCTTGATTCTAAAGCCGTTAGGTAGTTCTATTGTTTCAAACTGGTACAGTCATGTCATATTATGTCGTGTCATGTCATGTCATGTCATGTCATGTCATGTCATGTCATGTCATGTTATGTTATATGTCATGTCATGTCATGTCATGTCATGTCATGTCATGTCATGTCATGTCATGTCATGTCATGTTATGTTATATGTCATGTCATGTCATGTCATGTCATGTCATGTTATGTTATGTTATATGTCATGTCATGTTGTGCCATGTCATACCATTCCACTAACGTACCATGGCCTTTGTTTTGCAGCATGCCCATTCGGAACATATAAAGAGTTCTCTTCGCCAGATCCCTGCAAACTATGCCCGGCTCATTCCTCTACAAAAGCAACTGGTTCAATGTCACTTAATGCCTGTCAGTGTTTCGAGGGATACAAAGGGAATCCAGGAAATGGTGTTGCCTGCAAAAGTACTGAATATTATCTATGTTATCTGCATTTAAAATCTAGTTTCCTAGATGTCTTTAAGAATAATTGGAGAAATGTCTTCTTTCGTCAGATATAAATTTTGCTTGCTTATAGCTCAAACGTAATTGTTTTCTTTCAATTGCTATTTTATTCAGTTTCGTAGCACCGATTGAATGTCATGATGTCTCTTTTCGTGATTTTTTAGCCATTGACCTAACAGCAATTTTTTTCTTGTGATTGTTGGTTCATATCTTACTTTTCGTAACTTGCTAAAAACAGTGTTTACTTTTTGGATATAATGTGTGCCAATAACCTCTTATTAACAAAAATTGTATTTTAATGTTAACTGTCTTTCGTCTCATCGATAATTCGCATAATTTCATCAATCTTTTTCAGTTGTTGAGTGCCCTCCACAAAAAACCACCATCCCGAATGGCAGGATTGAAAACTGTGGGAACAAATACCAAGAAACATGCACTTTTGCTTGCAACCAGCATCATCATATTCTTGGTGAAACTTCACAGAGTAAAAAGATCGTATGTCAAAAAGATGGAACGTGGAGCATGCAAACTACACCCTCTTGCATACGTATGTTGTAGTTTGCTCAGTTTTCTTCAATATTCTGCAGATCTTAGAATTTAGAGATTTCGTCTAAAGTTCAAATAACACACTTGGATTCAACCTCTTAACAATGGCACATCTGTCTTACCCGGTTTCGTAACACTGATTGTTCAGGTGATGGGCTTTTCCTCCTGCTACATCAATCACAACTCACTGCTTGTAGAAAGGCATATTTTTATATAAGTATCTTGAATTATCTTTTTACAAATAACTCTAAGAGGCAGACACCAAGAAAATTGGCCCTGTTAGCAAATTGGATCTGTAGATGTTGTTTAGAATATAAAAGTCTATGTAAACCAAAATTGATCGATTGTTGATACACTGACAATATCCCCGGAGCACTGAAACTTAAAATTACATGTTTGATGATTTCATCAGAGCCAAAGTCTACTTTTTATATGCTCTTTATTTTTCTCTTCTTCAATCTGAATCCTTGCTTTTAAGCTTTCAAGGCAGCTTGGCTTAAAACTTCAGTATTCCAAACAAATTTGCAAGTGCAATTTGAGCGAACATTTGCTAAAACATAAATATATTTTCATTTAAAAAACTGATTTATTATCTGTGAGTCTTGTTTTGCAGCAATTCAATGCCCTGCTCTTCCCACGCCTCCAAAAATGATAGTAAAATATACCTCTCGATTGGTTGGTGGTGTTTCTACATTTGAATGCATAACTGGATATCGAAGGAATGGAACTGACAAAAGGACATGCCGAAATGATGGACAATGGAGTGGCGAGCAGCCATCTTGTGACGGTATCAATTCATTTCTTGACTCATAAATGTACTTTATATAGTAAATAATGACTGTCGCGCATTCCATCGATATAACATGGGTTCTATTACAAAGATATGTTGGAATCTTTTCTGTCTAAACCAACCTTTTTGTCCCAATTGAAATTACTGTAACAAGTTAATCGAACTTTTTAGTGTATTCTGAGTAACAAGTGTAATCAATGATATTGATGTAATCTTAATTGCGAGATCATGAGCGTAATCTTTGCTATCCGTGAAGCTTGATTATGAATGTATTCCGAATTACGATTCTATTCTGAGGTACTAATGTAACCCATGATGTGTAATGAATCTCAGTGGCGAGTGAATTCTGAGTTAAGAGTGTATTATCAGTTCCAGGCTTATCTTTTTAATAGGTTATTAAGCCTGCAATTTTCATTTTTTTATCATTTGAACTTGAAAATTATTTTTCTGATTTCAATCAACGTACATTGTGTCAGATGACTGGACAGACAACACCTATAAACGTTTCATCAACATATCTATCCCTGCAGAATGTTTTACAACAACGAGAACCTGAGCTGGATTGCAAGTCTTGATTAACAAATATGATATATGACAGTTTGATAAATTTCAAGCATGCCAGCAAACCTAAGACTTAACTCTTTTGTAGTTATCAAATGCCCAAGCTTGCGAAGGGTTGACAACGTGAACATAACCCCAGAGAGGTGTATAAACTCAAAGACGAACTTCGACGATGGATGTGCATACAGCTGTAAACTAGGTTACACTTTAGTATCTGGAAACCAAGCGAGAAAATGTCAGGCTGATGGTACCTGGTCTGGCACCGAGCTGGTTTGTGAAGGTAAAAATAAACTTCAAAATCTATTCCTTTAGATTAATCTGTTAACGATATCGAAAAACGAATGAAAAATTTTTTGCTGAAACTAATCTTACGCCTTATTCTCATGCCTAAATACGTCCTCGTAAGGATTGGCAGATAACTTTCTATTTATGACGTTGATGGCAGTATAACTTTGCCGTCTCAGCTGTTGGTTCTAATTCATGTCTATTAAGATCATCAATGGCCATAGCTTTGTGTTTTGTTCTGTTCTACGGACGAGCTATGCCTATTTCATGATGACAATGGTTTTGCTTGAATTTTAAAGTTATATATTTTCATGTAATAAAATGACATTCCCTGTCTTATCCCATTAATGACTAAGTGCTTGATTATCTTTTTACAGACAAAACACCTCCAACTATTACCTGTCCAGACGATATTGATGATTTAACAGATGAAGGCAAACAATACAAAGAGATTGCATTTAAGATGCCTGAAGTGAGAGACAACTCCGATGCTTTGGTCCAGTCTGTCGTGACGGTGACCCAGCTGCCTAGTTCTATCAAATCACCTTACAAGTTCCCAATCAATGACACTACTATCATTTTTACTGCCACCGATGAGGCTGGTAACAGCCACAGATGCACTTTCAGAATTAAAATCAAAGGTATTTAGCCTTTTGGACTATCATTCTGTCGTCTAATATTTCTTATCACGATTTTCCATTAAGTGTCTAGAGCGCTGTTCGAAATGGATATGCGTAACCCAAAAACGGTTTTCAATAAATCTATTCAAACTGAAATCGATTAACTGCGGTTTTAACATAGGTCAGCGCAACAATACACGTTTCGGCACAGCATTAGGCATTGGCGATCAATCTGCTTTACTGTGCTGTATTTGCGGCCACATCTACATACCTTTTTATCGACGAGCAGACAAGATTAAGAACATAAAATACAAACCCAAGAAAGAGCTCAAACCAACAATCTTTTTCACGTTCAAGGCCGCTTTTTGAAAATACCAATCTTTTCACGTTGAGGGTGGAGCAACCGTGTCAATTTTGACAGAAATAGTGGTACTGAAAAAGAAATTATCACAACATCCTCCGTTATTCTAGTCACTAGCTCACGATGACACGTCAGCTTTTTCCTTCATTGACTTAATCCCCCTTTCACTTTTAAGATCGAGAGGCACCAGTTTTCACCTACTGCCCACCGGATATTTCCAGTACACAATCGAGTGATTCATCAACGGAGGTCGTTACCTGGGACCCACCTACGTACAAAGACAACTCTGGCTACGTTGAGCTTGTGCACCAAAGTCATAAGTCTGGTGCAACATTCCCAATTGGTCCAATCAATCTCGTCCGATACACGGTGAGAGATTATTCTGGAAACGAAAAGAAATGCGAATTCCATATCAAGATTGAATGTGAGTTTCTTTGTGAGATACATTCTGTTTTTTTACAAGTATGGAGGAAAGGTGGTTCTAAAGTTTCATATGGTTTATTTTATGATTCAAGGCAATTGTCGTTTGTGAAGGAATACTTAACTTTCATGTGGTTAGAAAAAATTTTATGATAGGAGCATTGGTCTCAGAACATGTTTTGACTCCAGAAACGTTTTCGGAAATGAAGGGAATATTTTGCCTGTTAAAAAATGAAACGTAATTCTGGTCAAAATGCTGAGTGGAGGGACCAACACATGTTTTCCTAAGAAATCAGTTGAATTGCATTAAGATTAGGGAAATTAAAGTTAGGGCCCATTATGGCCTGGTCACCATAGAAAGAAAAATTAACATATGTGTTCAGATGATTTTAGAAAGCATTTTTTGAATTTTTTTCAAAAAGTTTTTGTATTTTTCTCTTCTTTCGCCACACTTAATTGTATTTATATTTGGGCTTTTATTGTGAAGAGTTGGTATGAATAAATTTTATTAACAAAAACTATGTAAAAACCAACTTTAAAGAATTTTATAATAGCAAATTATAATGATTTCTTTCAGCACGCACTTGTCCAAAGCGTGATCCTCCAATCAACGGTGCACTCGCTCTGTCATTCAGCTCGATGATGTTTGATCTATACCAAGCCCAATGCATGTCACCATATGTTCCAAATGGGCCTATGTCCTTTCTTTATGCTTGTTATCCAAGTGGAGACTGGACAGCTTTCCCAGACAGCCGATTTCCTTCGCAATGGCCAGATTGTACAGGTATTATTCAGTTTTCTCTAGCTCTTATTGCAAATGTTCTCGGCAGTATTCGGAGCAACAACTTTGTTGTGGTCAGTTAAAGTTATATTAGGTAATGATGTAAATATTGTAAAGAAAATGTGTTTTTTTATTTGTGTGTAAATTACTACTTACCTTGATTATAATTAGAGCAACTTTTTCCCTATCTTTCAATCTCTGATGATACTTGACCACCCACTAATTTATGCTTCTGATACGTCATCTCTGACCATCAAAGCATATATAAGAAGGAATTTGGCCAATAAAATGTAACCAGGCATGTAAAATAAAATAAAACTCAGTTCATGTCCGTGAACGTCCTTTAATTGTCTTGATTGTCTTGAAAAACATGGGGATGAAAGAGAGGGGGGGGGGGTTAATCTTTATCGTTAACCGTCTTATTTCCTATCACATTTATATAAAGGTGTACTTCATTGCCACAAAGCTTTTTCACGAGTAAAAACAATATTGATGAACTCTGTTATAACTATGTGACAAAAAAATTTTTACCTGGCCTTATCTCTACATTGAGAACCATAGTATTAAGTTTTTGTTGGTACTAAGTAATTGACTAATTGATGAACTGTTGCTTGCTGCATTAATTAGACATAAAACATAGGATAAATGATGCTCATAGTTCTTGCCTGATTTATAGCTGTTGGAAGCATGGAAGGTATGTCTCAAAGGATGAAGCTGTACTACTACTCTGGAAACTGTCATGAGAGCATTCAGGCTCAAGAACAAATAAAGAATAATTTTCTTCAGGTTCTGAATGTTTACTTGCAAAAAACCGGAAAGGGAGGTTGCGCAGATCCAAATAACGCAATGGTATGCAAAGCAGAAAATGTGAAGATTAAGTGCGGTAAATTGCAATCTAAGAAGAGAAGTCTACAGGTAGGCCATTATAGTATGACACTTTCACTATTTCGCTAATCGTTGTCTTATATTAGCCATGCACAACAATTAGATACAGTATAATCTTCAAATTAACTACACCTTTTAGAATGAAATCACTATTCAAGTTGACCTTGAAGTCATCACCAAGTCAAACGACGCTTCTACTCAAGCTGTTGTATCTGGCCTAGCATCTGCTGTTAACAGCCTTGGATCGGCGTCTACTACGGAGGCCAATGCCGTCAAAAATATCAATGTTGGCCAAGACACACTTAGGTTTGCACAAGTACAGCCAGTTGGATCTGTAATGTCATTATGTTCCAAAGGAGCTGTTTTGGATTCATACGCCAGCAGTAATGACAATATTACTGAAGTTCAGGGATGTGGTACGTAAAAAATCCGTAGTTGCCAAGAATCATTCCAGACATTTTATCTTACTATCCCATACTTTCCTATAATTTTTTTGATGCTTTGTAAATTTTCTAACTTTCTAATAGATAGCTAGACTTGTCATCTTTTTAGATAAAAAATGTCGCCTCCTGTAATCTAGCTTAATCGAGTGAAAAGTTTACTGTATGATGGACAAGAAATATCTTATGTTTAATATAAAATTTGTGACCATAGTTGCCTGTGTTGCTGGTAAATACTACGACCTAGATGAAAGGAAATGCAAGTACTGTCCTGTTGGAACTTACACTCAAATTCCTGGCCGTCTTGGCTGCTCGTTGTGTCCTAAAGGAAAGACTACACCTGGAGTTGGAACCAGTAATGCAACGGAATGTAGAGGTCAGCTTACTGATAATGCTTATTTAAAGATTGTTTTAAAATATGGCAACATTGCCTGATTTATTGATTAGTCACATAATAGTTACATCACCAAATAAATTGATTAATCATATAATCATATATTGGTTAATTGACACCTCAATCACAGCATTTTATAGATAATACAGCTTACTGACTACACTAATTTAATGATTATGTTGAAATATTGTTAGATCAACTAAAAATGATTAAACATATAATCATGTATTGATTAATTACTAAATCAATTCATAACACTCAATAGCATATTATATAGCTTGCTGATTACAATGATTGAATGATTATGTTGAAATTATGTTATATCACCTAATAAATTGATTAATCATATAATCATGTATTGATTAATTAACAATCCAATCACAGATTAATTAACAACTCAATCACAGCATTAAATAGATAATATTTTGCCTTGCCTTGATGAATAAAATGTGCTAACCATCCTTCTGTATTTATTTCTCTGTGTTTATATTCATTTGTCATAATTTTCACCTTGTTTAAAAGCTAAGATTCGATCAATACTTTAACTAGCAGAATTTTGACACATGTCTAGGTAGTAAATTTTAAAGAATTGTCGGCACAGAATAGAAGAAAGCTCTTTCTGTTTTCTTGGCTGTATGTTCTATTTGAAAATCACATGACCTATTTTTTCCAGCTCCATGTGGCCCAGGTACATTCTCTGCCACTGGCCTCCAGGGTTGTCAATTCTGTCCAAAAGGAACATATCAATCAGGCTATTATGGCAAAAACTGCGTGAAGTGTCCAGGAACCACAACTACAGTCAAGATCGGTGCATCAAGCCTTCGTCAGTGTGGAAGTGAGTGGCTCTTCGTCTTTTCATATGACACATTAAACTGTAGATTGAATCGATAAGATTCCAATTTTCTACCTTGCTTATCAATGTCATCTTCACGTTTTATCTGAGGCATCGAATCTATTTTAGAAACTGGGGAGAAAGGAATGAATAATCTATATTGAAAATCCACTGCTAGAAGATGAAATGCCATTATCATTTGATAGCACCTTATCATGATAGTGAGTGGCAAAATATATACCGACGCATTTTTTATGACCAAAGAAAAATATACACCCATTCAATGATTTTGGTATTGTTGTACATCTGTTGAAATTTGTTTGAGTATTTTCAGAATATATCACGTGGAAATAAATTGTTGTTGAATTATTTCTTTTTACAGTGCCATGTCAGCCCGGTACATACTCTGCTTCTGGAGCTGAGCCATGCACACCCTGCCCAAAGGGCACCTTCCAGGTAGCAGCTGGTAGTGATAAGTGCAGATCATGCCCAAGTGGAAGGTTTACCCATGGAGTTGGAGTAACCAGCGAATCAGATTGCCAAGGTAGGTTCACCTTGTTTCTTTTCATTTCAAATACTTATATCAACTGCCAATACTAGTTTTTGTTTTTTCCATTTATTTCATCATCTTTGTCCTTTATGTTGTTGTCAATTCATTTTATCATCTGATCATTCATCGTGTTTCAGGCTAATGTATCGCAATCATGCATCATATTTCAGACTAATGTTTTCAGGCTAATGTCATTGCTATTTATATTCGCGCAGTATTACCTTAGCTGGTATTGTTTTAAAACTAACATCGTTAGATCAGAAATACTGTACCATGTATAAAGCAATTAATTTTTAAACTTATCTTGGTGTTCTATATTTTGCAAAAGTACGCCCTGCTGATTTCTTATTTCTTGGATAAATGTATCTAGAATTGTGTGTGCGTTACATTCAATACGTTAGAACAATACGTTACACAAGGTACATTTGATCCCTGTATATGAGTACAAAAGCAAAACATTTCTTTTGTGTTGCCATAGAGCTTACAGTTTTTTCAAGTATTCTTTCCTTTTGATTAGCTATCAACCATTGTGCATCAAACCCTTGCATCAACGGGGCATCGTGCAAAAATGAGGCCGATGGGTTCACTTGCTCTTGCAAAATTGGATTCTTTGGAAACTTGTGTCAAAACGAGAGAGATGAATGCGCCTGTAATCCATGCTTTGGAGATGCAGTCTGTGTTGATAAGGCAAATATTGTTTTTCTTCTGCTGAATAAACACAAAGCCTTTTCTTGCATTTCCACGTCCTATCATGGTTTGTGCAGATCTTTATAATAACTCCTCAAGAAAAATCTTTCATAGGATTTTTGCCTTCAAGCATTTCATCAAGCGACATCTTTCTTCACTATCGAAACTAAATGTGCTGTTTCTTCTGTATACCATTTTGTATGTTTTTGCCACACTACCCCATCTTATCCTGCTGAGCCTTACCTTCCTTCTATATTATTCGTTTGCCATGTACATATTTCCTTTCCAGTTATATTTCATTTGCAATAGATTTATTTATTCATCAAACAATGGTAGTCTGTGGTGGTGTTTTGATTAAAGAAAAACGATTCCCATTTTGAATCCTCTACAGGTGAATGGATTTGAATGCATGTGCCCGCTCGGGTACCAAGGTACATTCTGCGAAGATAAGAAGACTGAATGCTCGGCTGGCAAATGTCAAAATGGTGGAAAGTGCAGTGAAACTCCTGACGGTTTCACATGTAGCTGCGCAGCTGGGTTCACCGGGCTCTACTGCGAGGCAACAATCAATGTAAGCATAGAATATTCAGCAGCTTTTTGCGTTCTTATGAATAGGACTTTTCACTTTGAAGTTGCCTTCTACAAATGTATTTTTGCCTTTATAAGTACTATTGACAATTCTTGGAAGCTTGACAGGATGGGTTTTTTGCAATGAAGAATCTCTACCATGCCATCATCTCGATTTCGGGCTCCCTAAAATGACAGCTGGCAATCGATTGGAAATTAAATTTGTTCGTTTAAAGAAGCCATTATAGTGTATAGAAGCGCTCTTCAGAATGGTTTTTTTTAGAATACATAGGGCTTTAAAGGAATTGTCGGCTAATATTTGAAAATGGGGACACCTATCAACGGTACGGTTTGGTTCATGCCTCCCTGAAATCAAGCAGAAACGGGCGACTGCATGGAAACAGTACACCGTATAAACAATTTCAGAATGGTTCTTTTTTCAAATTTCGAGTGATTTGAGTGAGGTAGGCAGGCCCCGTTTACACGGGAACGGATCCGCATAGATCCATACCAAAACCAGCTACGATAGGCCTTGCGTTTACACTGGTACGGTGGGATCCGTATCTTTTTTAGGAGAAATCCGTACCTTTTTTGGTACGATTAGAAAGCGAATCCATTTGGATCCGTACCTTCATTGGCGCCGTGTAAACGGGTGGATACGGATCTGAAAAGGCACGGCAGTAAAACGAGGCTGTTGCTGGGGTCAATGGAGGCTATTTCAGTTGTACGCAATAAACCATAACAAAAACTTTTACTAAAAGTTGAAGAAAGAAACGAAATCTCAACTCCGCCTGAAATTTGTTTGACAGCTGGTGATCCTGCCCGGATTGCATAGCACTGACCATACAACATAGAAACTACTCCCCTATCCCCATTCTTTTTTCCACAGTCGACCGCCTTTCTGAACCTTGTCTTCATCATGTTTATGGTCCTCGATGTCCTCCCGCCAAAATGAAAATTAACAATTACCTTGTCATGCGCATGCTTTAAAAGAGAGATTCGATTTTGGTCCGTTCCCGTGTAAACGCTATATAGTTTAGGATCCAATCTCGTGTAAACGCTTGTCGATCGTACCCTTATCGTACCAAAAATGTCAAGATCTTTTAGATACGTTCCTTTTTCTCTTGTGTAAACAGGGCCTAAGATATGTTTCGTTGGGGTCTTAAGGTAATCTGGAACCCTATTTTGGCTTGGATCCTTATGTTTTCACTGAAAACTAACTAATTAATGTTTCGCCAAAAAAATTGCCTAATAGTTTTGAATTTGTAACTGTTTTAAATGTGATAGTATCTAGAAACTGCTGATTTTAAAATAGAAAACTCTACGGAATGAAAATAAATTTAGAACTTATTGCACCGATAGTTTCTATTTAGAATAATTGAAAATATGTCCAAAGGTTGTTCTGAAAGTTGGCTTAAGGTAAATAGTTGCGTAGCGAAATTCGTACACGACAGCTTGGAAACAAGTTTGAATTCTTTAGCAAGATGCTTGTTCTTATGAAATAATGTCGATGGATTTTACCACAATAGGAATGTGCTTCGATGCCATGCAAAAACAAAGGACGCTGTATTGATTCTGCAAATGGGTTCAGATGCGAATGCAAGCCCGGATTCACTGGTGAGCTATGCGAGGACAATGTTGATGATTGTGCTGCAAACAATTTGTGCCAAAACGGCGGAGTTTGTGTTGATGGTGACAGTAGCTTCACTTGCCAATGCAAACCGGGATTCGGTGGAAGCAGGTACACACTCTTTGTCGCTTTCATTACAGTTTTTCGTATGCATTTTCTATAAAGCTGTATATTACCTTTACTAATAAAACCAATAAACTGTTAAAACTGCATATTTCTTTGAAATGATTTAACAAAAATTTAAAAGCTTAGACTTGTTCACAAAATCTGCGAATTTTCTTTACTGATTTCCCCACATCTTGTCACATTGTTAAGTAGCGAATGCTGAACGGAAATTTTGCATCTTTTCCTTTTATTAAATCTTCTCTTTTTAGGCTTTAACCCTCTCTCCCGCCCACCCATACTTGGCAATATTTATGTGTCAAAACAAACGTAGTTTGAACACTGTTTTGCGTTTTTCGAAATTGTCCTGCAGCAGAATTTTTGTTTAACCCTTGAATTTTATACGAAATTTCACGGCATTGATCTCTTTGACCTTCAGATGTGAAGTCAACATCGACGAGTGTGGCTCAAATCCATGCAGAAACGGTGGAGTTTGTGTTGATGCCATCAATGGATACAAATGTCATTGTACACCAACATTTTACGGCAATAACTGTCAAACTAGTATGTAAAGTCATTTTTTTCCCAAAATAAAAAAGATTTATAGAATTGAAATAAGCCTTTTTGAAGTGCTAAACGTTTCAAAATCTACTCAGAAAAAATTCTAATTAATTTTGCTATCTTGATCAGTTCATTAGGGAATTTTAAGTGAGCAAACCCATGTCCTAGCTAAAGGTTTGATAAATGAAAATGGTAAGATTGTGAGAGAAGAAAAAAGAAAAAGCCTCGAGATGTAAGAAAACTATAAGCGATCATTTTGCATGACCCAAAGACTGCAACAATGTGTGAAACTCTGGTTTAAAGTTTCTTCATAGAATCATTACCTTTATGTGAATTGGAATTTCACGAGGTTATTAGCTTTATTGTAAGGTAGTAAGCTTGGAATTCAAAATATATTTTGATAGAAACCATTACCTGCAGCTTCCTAAAGTATTTTCATGTCAGGTAAACAATTCGACTGGCACTCAAGAATATAGCTGAATTTGATGTAATTTCTATTTTCCAATTGACATTTTTTATTTTACTTGGCCTACAGCTTTAAGGAATCGTCAATTTTAGCACAAGCTCTAACGGCCTCGGAACATTTGTTCCTTGTAGACTTTTTCTTCCTGAAAGATTTAACAACAACGCTCTTACTTATTCGTGGCTATTTATTGCCTCCTTCAAAAGACAAAGTTATTAATCTTAGACAATGGTACCTTATCTAATGACATTGATTCTCTATCCTTATTAGGACAGCAAGAGATGAACTTTGACTTGGTATTTAGCAGAGACACTCAAGGATATGCAGAATCTAACTTGAAAAACCAACTGGGTGCCTTCACATTGTCCTTCTGGATGAAAGGAGTGCAAGATGATCTTGAAGCTGGAACTCCGGTCTCTTACGCTGTTAATGTAGGCGGTATGGAATTTTCAGTTCTTGAAACCGGACTTGATAAAACGGTTGATTTACCCAATAATGTTCCCAATGCCTTTTTATGAAAGTGTCGTTTTTCTGCATCCAAAAGTTTTAAGATCGTTTTAATTATCGTGTTTGTATATTGACTATTAGAACGTATTCTAAAGGGCTTCATCTTTTCTTGTTATTTTTATGAGGCTGCATCCGGTAAACGCATGAAATATAAGTATGCAAAGACTCCTATGATATGCCTATTTTACCTACATTTTAGACTCACTTGTTGATAATGCTTTGGTTGTTCGTGACCCTGAGTCCTTTATAATGGTTATCATGGGCAAAGAGATTGAATCGGGAGTTTCGGTGAATGATGGGAACTGGCATCATGTTGCTTTTTCATGGTCCAGCGGCACCGGATCCTTTGCTGCCTACCAGGACGGTTTGAAGATCAGTGAATCTGTGGAGTTCCAAAAGGGACAGGTATTGCAAACAGTCCTTTAACATATGTTAACATATGTCTGTATTAAATTTGAGAATGATTTTATAGATTGTCATTCAACTAGATTGTATTTTTTTTCTTTCATTTCCCGTTAATGCTATGAAGCAGAGGACATGATGTCTTAGGCTTAGCCTTAAAAATCATCCACGTCTCAAACGAATGCCCTTTATACGCTTGGAAAGAATCCACATTTAGTGTAAAAGAGGCTTATAAAAAGGATTGGTTGAATAATTCTTGGATACTTTTCCGTAGAAAATTCCTGCTGGTGGCTATTTCATATTAGGACAGGAACAGGACGAAGTTGGCAGAAATTTCAGTTTAGGAGAAGCATTTTATGGCAGCATGTCACAGCTTAACTTGTGGAACAAAGTTCTTTCAGACAGTGAAATATCAGAAATGTCCCGCTATCGATGCGATGGTATTCTTGGTAACGAACTGGCATGGCCTGACTTTTTACAAAAGAGAGTTGAAGTTAACAAAGTAAATGAATTCTGTACAGGTGGGTATTGCTTAAGGAGTCTGCTTAAATGATAAGCATACATTTTTTGCCCGCTGGATATAAAAAAGAACAACTGGGTCCAAAGGTGACGAAATAAAAGCTCTAACTTTTTTGATACAAGCGACAAAATAGTGAATCTTCCAGATAAACAGCTATTTCCAGTTTACTGAAACTGTTGAATATTCATTTTTTTGTTCTACAACATGAAATTCCACCGTACAGTTTGTGATGACATGGGGAATGTTGGTTTTTAATAGCTAAATTACACGGAGGGATATGATGCAATTGCAAGGCTTGATATCGACGAGGACTTTTCATTCATTTTCAAAAACGTTATTGCATCGTTATCATCATGAATTGAATCATTCGTACTTAGCAAAACGATTTCTCATTTGACGTTCTAGAATGACACACAAAAAGTAATCATTTAAAAAGTCATTGGCCATTTCACTCAAATGAGTAAAATTTTAAGATTTAGAATAAGGTATAGAACTTAAAACAGCAACGCAGATTGGGCCACGTTTGTTTTAAGCAAAATCTGAATTTTTATTCTGTTCCCTTTTTGAAATTTACACGATTTGTCCATCTTTATTTTTCCCATGTGAGTGTATTTTTGTCATGACTGATCTGTTATTTAATCGCTACACTGCTATCATTACAGTAGAAATGCAATGTTTGTGTACGATAGTAATGATGATGATAGATTTGTGATGGTATGAATGTTTATTCTTCAGTGAAATATACGAAATTTTCCACCTGGAACAGCAGATCAACGCCATCAAATGGTATTGAACATGAAGCACCAACCTGCAGCAACTCGGTTTCCGCCCAGTGCATGTCAGTCAATAAAGAAACAACCCAAGGCGTTAATCTGATTGATACTGAGTGCTCTTCTGCTGGTTACACTTGCAAAGACAGCGATCAGACCAAGTATGATCCTAACAACTCTTTGAGATGCAAAGACTTCCAGGCAAGATTTGAATGCCCATACACCAAAAGTAAGTTTCCATTTTGCGCCCTCCCCACCCTCATTTCAAATTTTGTTGGGCCGTAAGATTATGAAATGAAGTTATCGGATCGAAAAAGGACGAAGCAGTTGACTACTTAATTTTATGGACATTTCTTTTCCTTTACGAATGTAGAAAGATATGCTATGAAACAAAGGATCTTAATAATAATCATCAAGATTTCCATAGAAATAAATACAAGAACTAGTCGCATTTTACTGCACGGAGCAAATATTAATTCTGGATAGTAAAATTACTTTATATGACACTTGCTGGAATTTGATTGGAGATCAAGGAAAGCATGGCTTTTTGGAATAATTACATAATTATTCTTCTCCTTTGTTATTTTGAACCGAAACTGCGTCTCTTCTCCAAACAAAGAAAAATAATAAGTGTTTTCTTTTGAATTCGTAAGGATTTTTCATCATTTTCTTTGCTTTTCATTATCATGTAAAATATTTTTCAGGAACTTCATCATGTTCCAATTCTCCTTGTAAAAATGGTGCAAGTTGTATCGAGACTCTGCAGTCATATCGTTGTCAATGTATAGATGGGTATGGAGGCAAAAACTGTGAAATTGGTGGGTACCTAATTTGTTAATTAAAAGTTCATTTTCTTTGTTATTTACATCATCTATTATGTTCTTTATTATCCTGTTATTTTATTCCATTTCCATCTTCTTTTATAATGCTCTGTTTTTTCTGATCTGTTATTTTCTACTGCATTTTCATTTTTTTCGTTGTGTTCTATTCCATTTTATTTTTACTCTTTTGTCTTTTCTAGTCTTTCTGGTTTTTTATCTATTTGTTTACCTATTTATTTTATTTTCTAAGCTTTTTTTACTACTAATAGGTTATAAAAAGGCTTATAATTTATGGATGATTATGAATGATGACAATGTTTTATGATAGAAATATCATATGTTCTTTCCTTCAAATTTCTGAAGGAAACACGGTCCTTAGATCTGGCCTGGGCACCTTATGACCCGCGGGTCAAACCTTGGACGTTTCTGTCCTACCCGCGAGATTGTATGGTCAATCAGACCATGAACTGTTGTAGGAACATTTTCAACTTGCCCTACACCACAATTTCATATATTGATAAAAATATTCACATAATGGCTTTATCGTTTTGAAAACCACTATCATCTAAATATGGTATAATTTATTGCTTTTTAGATTTGAAGAAAATGAACATTGCTCTAAATAAGTCTATCGTTGATTTGGCCCTCCAACTAAATCCAGGTTCTTCAAGTATTACCTTGTAGAAATCAAGTGCCCACCCCAATTTTAGATAAAAACCTTAGGACTTAAAGAAAACAGTCTCTGAATTCTACAACTTTCAAGCTGCCATTTATTCTGTTTTCTACAACGATGAATGATTTCTTCATATTTGATTTTAGCTCTTCCTTGTTATAAATTAAAGACCATCCCACACGGAAGTGTTTCGATTTCTGGAAACACTTTCTCATTCAGATGCAATGCTGGCTATCGACTGTCCTCAAGTGGCTCGCTTTATTGTCGTGCTGGGTCTTTGAGTGGACCCGTGCCAACCTGTGTTGGTAAGTAATCCCTATATATAGGATTTCTATAGGATATAAATAGGATTTGTAAAATAAGTCATATCTAAATGTATCTTTGGTGCTACAAAATGTCAGGATGCCTTTGGATAAAAAAATGAAAATAATAAGAAAGGACTACTTTGGGTAGTTAAAACCAGATTTTCTATTTAAAAATTTTAATAAGACCTTGAAGCTTTTCTGTCAAAGAACAGACTTTAATTAGACTTCTGTTTGTTCATTCAAGAAGTATATTGTCGATAGCATGATTATATATTCTCAAATTCTCATTGCTATAGATATTAACGAATGTGCTGCTTCAAACGGTGGGTGCGATCAGCTATGCGTCAATACAGAAGGAAGTTTCAAATGTCAATGCAATAATGGATACGAGCTTAGGAATGGTCGATGCGTTGGTAAGAAAATTTGAATCATACATGTAGGCATCGATTGACCATTATATTGACTAGTTGATTTTGCGCATTTGTGTCAATTATTGTTCCATTTCATAAGCAACAGATATTCGTTCGGTTTTAAGTTAGATATTCTACAAACCCCCAAAATCATTAAAACATATTTTGCTCCTAGCAAAAACCACAAAGCTTCATATAAAGATAATTTCTTTAAAGATTATTCAAAGTAAATTATTTAGTTTTATGATGAAAACACTACTTTGGAATTTATTTATTCTGTCAATTTCAAGACCATTTTCCTCAGTTTCTTTGCATCTTTTGCTCCTGAATCTTCACAGCCCTAAGGAAGAGCAGTGAAATTCTCTTATTTTACGTTTTAGCCTTAAAAACTCATTAATAGTTTTTGTAATGTATATTAAATCTAAAAACTGAGTATAGCGTATAAATCATGTTAGAATGAAAATAATTGAATGAAGGAATGATCATCTTTGCTTGACCTGATAAATGTAATCTTTTGTTTTAGTATTTTGTCATTTTTTGTTATTCTTGTTCACATATATTTGGGTTTCTTCAAAGTAGGATTTGACTTACTCTGACCTACAAAATTTCTTTAACAGACGTAGACGAATGTGCTCTTGGCAAGCATAATTGCCAGTACCATTGCTACAACACTCAGGGCAGCTACCGTTGCAGATGCCCGGCTGGTTATGTTTTGAATGCAGATTTAAGATCATGCAGAGGTAATCAGTCTATTTCAACCATATGCCAATCGGTCCCGTTTTTGCAAAACTATACCTATGAACTGGCCCATGATATAGGTGTTGATCTAAGACCTTGAATATATATTATCATATTCAAACCTTTCAAAGTTCAAAACCAACAACGGCTATCCGTGGTCAGTCACCATGCTTTATGGTAGTGGTTGACTGATTTATCAAATTCTTCTCAGGTAGAAAAGCCATGTGATCTTTCTTGTTGACAAGACATTAAAAGGCTATGAAGCTGTCATCTGTCAGGGTGGCCTTAGCCTTTATTTGCTTCAGGAAGTAATCAATCAAAGTAATCAACAAGGCCTAAAAATCTAGATTCTTTGACATACACAACCTTTCATATATGTAATTATAGTCCAAGCGTGAAGAGCTCTGTTCATACGGTATCGACCCATTTACTATATACTTCAAGGCTATTGCTTTTCTGCTGCTACGTCATAGAGTGCAGGATTAGCATTATGCCATAAGCGTTGACCTGCTTTCTAATGTGTGTTTGTGCTAATATTTTCTCTGTATCATGTTGCAATAAAAATATTGATGCGAGCACTCTCTAAAATATTGATGATTTGCTTTTCAAGACATCAACGAATGCGAAGCTTCTAGCCATAGCTGTCAGCATCACTGTATCAACAAGAGAGGGTCTCACGCATGCGCTTGTAGAATTGGATACGTCCTTGCTGCCGACAAAAGATCTTGTGAACGTAAGTCCCTTTCTTTTAGCATCCCCTCTAGATCTTTTGAACAGGGCTATTGAACATTATGAACAGATTTACATAGGATCTTTAAATTCATCAAACTCTTTCTTATAAGAAATGATAAAATTAGTGCGAAATAATAGAAAAAAACTTTTCTTTTGAGTTAGGATGGGAAGGGACAATCTAAGTGTCTATGCAACGGAAATATTGATTCAGATTTCATTTCTTTAGGCAGTTAGAGTTATAAAAAAATGCCAATTTATGTTTAATTTATCTTAAGTTTTTTGTCATTATAGATTTGCACTTTTTTGAAAACCATTATTTTACAGCGGTAATGAGCTTTTTTCAATGTGTGGAATTTTTGCTTGTGAAGATTACACAAAATTCGAAACATTACAGGTTGGAAATGGTCAATACTAAAATGGAGAATAATAGCATGTAATGTTAGAAAATTTATTTGCTTGTACCAATCATATCCATATCGATAAGGTTTTTTAGTACCTGGTTATAATTTTTGTCTTCACTACTTTAGGGTATCTATTAAATTTAGTGTTCAGTTGCCTAACCTTTGCACAACCTTTTTAAGGTAAAACCTGCCCATCATTGTCAAGTCCCGCAAACGGAGCTGTCTCGACTCCAGATCGCCACTATGATGGAACAGCAACATATAGCTGCAACAGCGGGTACAAACTGACTAAAGCGACTCGACGAACCTGCGATGCCAACGGTCAGTGGTCTGGAGAAGAGCCTTCATGCCAAGGTAATTGTGATCTACGTCTTGTCTTTCTCTGTTCAAATGTTCATCCTTGACTTTGTCATTTTTCTACTTGATATGTACTTCTTCTACGAATCTTTGTTAAAGGTATTGAAGAAAAAGGACAGGCTCTACTATTTGTTAATAGCAACTTTTTAGATTATTTTCTGTTGCATGCAATTTGAATTCTAATGGGAGTGAATTTTTTACTATTTTCTTTCAAATAAGCCGTCACTTGCGTTACCCTTGGTGGCCTTTTGAACGGGCAGTCCTCAAACGGTGGAACAAACTTTGGATCAACAAACAGGTATACATGCAATGCTGGCTACCAACTCATTGGGTCTGCACAAAGAAGTTGTCAGCAGGATGGAACGTGGAGTGGAACCATGCCAAGATGTGTTCGTATGTATCCTGTTGTTTCGCAATACTCTTCAATGCTTTTTAATGATGCTACAAATTTAAAAAGGAAGGAAGGCTACAACATTAATTTTTTGAAGAATCTGCTTATTTTAGGTAAAAAACACGAGAAAGCAGCATATGTTATAATTTTGAAGAATAAACACATTTGTTTGAGAAAACCAGATGGAGGAAGAATTTTGTAGCAAAAACTCAGATTAATGTGTATGAAGACAATTTTGATTTGTTCAAGTTTTTAAAGATACCTATATACAAAATAATGTTTGTGATGAAACTGCGATGTTTGTTATAGGAGGCGAACGAGACTTGTCTTGGTCATCTCACGAAAGAAAGCAAATTGAAATTTTTGCTAACAATAATCATTGTTGATTGTCTCTTCTTTAATTCTAATGCTTAATGCTAATGCAACATTAAGGGTTCAAGACGCTTGAGTCAGTAAGTAATCCTTATAAGCCTGACCAAATCACTCACTCAACACCTTTTCTTATGTATGCAAGGCTTTAATGCTGATTGTATTTAGAAATGGAAGCTTGCAATTTTTGTTTTCTTTTAGGCATGACATGCCAACTGTTGCCCAATCCTGCAAATGGTAAAGTTGTTGGCACATCAGCTGTGCAAGGTGCCACTGTTCTCTTCTTCTGTAACCCTGGATACATGTTGTCTTCATCATCAAGCAACTTCAGGACATGTCGAGCCGATGGGTCGTGGACAGGCTCCCAGCCTACATGTATTGGTAAGCAATCCTTATCTTGTTTTGAAGCATACACACACGAGTACATTGTTTTGCTTCGTGTACTCTAGGTAGCAGATCCATGTCTTGCAGCACAATGCAAATCAGAAGCCTCTTATACGGCTTTATACAGTGTAATTATAATCCAATAAACAATAAACTCCTTCAATATGTGACATAGACATGCAATCTAAAACCAGTATACAATACTTCTCACCTCAGCTTTTTCTTCTAATATTATTCAATTTTGGTACCCCAATATTTAATGAATCCTTATTCTAAAACTCCCTGGTATTAAGGCTATTCTGCTATACGTTATCTTAAAACGTTATACGTTATCACAGCATATCTTGAAACTAATTTGAGCCAACTGGTCATTTATTCACAAACTTGCAGGAACGAACTTATTGATAGCAACTAACTTCATGTAAATAGTTTTGATTTGTGCAGCCAGCAGGATGAATTTGCTAGTGCTCCTAAAATGTAGTTTTCGAAACACGGGACAAAGAATTAAGAGCGAGGTGATTTCTTTTAAACAATCTTATGTTGAGAAAATATTGATGCCACCTGAATTTATGTCTCGGTTTGACAGCATCCACTGATCTCTTTGTTCAGACGATGTTACTAGCAATGTAGAAATTTAGCTTTAATTTGGCAGTTCACTATGTCATATAGGTATTCATAATCGGAAAAGATATATTTAATGAATTGTCTTAGAATCGTCTTTTAAGGAAAGGGGAGGAGAGTTCAGGTTTTGGATAAAAGAAATGAAAAATGCAGAAACAAGTTTAACCAAGCTTTGTATTTACATTACAAGTGTTGTATCATAAACAATAAGTTGTTGATTTGCAGCTGTAAGATGTCCTGCCAAGGGTAGCCTTGCCAATGGCGCCATCTCATCCGATGGTGACACGGTTGGAAAGAAACTTGTTTACACATGCAACGAAGACTACGGATTATCAGGCCTTGGACAAAGAATTTGCCTCGGAAATGGCGAATGGAGTGGATCTGCACCAGCTTGTGTTCGTAAGTCTGATCTTCGATAAACTGTCCCGTTTAAAAGTAAATTTTTGAGACAGCACAGATTTTAGATGTTCTTTAAGATTTTTAAAATTCTCTTTCTGATCTGTTGTGAAAAACACCAGGATTTCTAGCTTTTTTTCTTCTAATACGCATGATCCAAAGTCAGAAATGGTAAGAATGTTAAGACGAAGCTTCAGATACCATTTCATTATTCATAAAAAATGATTTTCTTTATCTTTTTACTAGTTCACATTGCCTCATCTCGCAGTAACATTATTACCTGACATAAGAAGGATTTCCTTTTTCTAGGATCAAGATTTTTATGTTGCCAATTTCTTATTGGTAAAATTACTTTTTTCACTCATTTGTGACAATTTCTCTCATTTTCTTTGAAAGATCGCACTTGCGACTATCCTGGTATCCCACAGAATGGTGATATGGTTGGATCCTCCTTAGCCTATGGCAGCAAAGTTCATTTCTCCTGTAAGACTGGATTCAAGCTTGTTGGCGATAGTGTTAGACTCTGCTTAGAAAGTGGAAAGTGGACAGGAGCTAACCCAGTTTGTCAAGGTAATGTGTGCGTAGTGACTCCTTAGGCCTGTTTGTACTAGTGACTCCTATTGCGAAGGAGACAGAAAACCTCCATTTGGGTCTAGGGCTCCGGGACATATTGTGAGAAGGATCTCTCTCTTAAGTATACATAGTTAGATATAATCATATATATATCCTTATTCAAAGATATGATTCTCTCTGTGGTATACGTTTATGTCCCGCCCAAGTCACAGCAACTCCTTAGGCCTGTCTCATTCATTCCTTTCTATTCCGGTGTGATATGCGTTTTGGTACCCTATGCAAAAGTGTAACATTGTGAAACGCAATGTGTTTCAAATCAAGTGATTTCATCGTAGTTCGATATTATGACACATTATAATTAACAAATAGAACACAATGCTCTTTTTGTTCAAAATTTCACACTTTTTAATCAAGAAAACTTTGGAGTCGCCATTAATGTTGTACTTTTTTGCATAAACTTAACAAGGGAAATCACAGCACCGCTTCTTGTTAGTACCCCCTTGTTAGAAATAGTTCGATTGTTCTTTACATTCTGAACATTATGAATCAGAACATTTGTGTTCCAGACCAGGTCGCATGCTAAATTCCACCATTTGTTTCAGTTCCCTGTTTTTAAAAGATTGGGTACGTTTTTGTATAAGCAAAATTGTTATGGGTTTCTGTACCAGGACCGTTTTGCATGCGAAATTCCAAGTTCGTTTTGGTACACTATTGTTTAAGTGCTTGGGTACGTTTTTGTATAAACAAAATTGCCATGCGTTTGTGTACCTGAACCGTTTTGCATGCTAAATTCCACCATTCGTTTTGGTACCCTATTGTTTAAGTGCTTGGGTACGATTTTACATAACCAAAATTGCCATGCGTTTGTGTACCTGGACCGTTTTGCATACTAAATTCCACCATTCGTTTTGGTACCCTATTGTTTAAGTGCTTGGGTACGATTTTGCATAACCAAAATTGCCATGCGTTTGAGTACCCGGACCGAAATGCATAAGGTTACCGAAACGCATATGACACCGGCACCGCAGCATCCTCTACACCACTCACACACCGCACATCCATTTATTACTATTCTGCACTTGCAATCTGTCATGTTATTCATTTCACAAATCGTAACACGCCCAACTCAGATCACAAATCTGTTGCGTCATTTTCCCCTCTTTTTCTGCAGTCCAATTGATATGATTTTTTTTAATACGGAAGTTTTGTTAACGTACAAAAATAAAGTAGCTTGTTTGACTTTTGAAGATGCAATTTTATTGCTCAAATTTTATTCAAAACTTTTTGTTGTATCATCTTTGTTGGTGTCACTAATAAATATATAAGGCATGTCACTAATTATGATGTTTGATTTCATTAGAAATTGTCTGTGGAGATCCAGGCACACCAGCCAATGGTGCTAAGCATGGAAATGACTACACCTTTGGCAAACTAGTTGGCTTTGATTGCAAACCTGGTTATTCTCTCAGAGGCTCAATACTTAGAAAGTGTCAAGATACTGGCAAATGGGATGGAGTCCAGCCGGTTTGCACAGGTGTGGTCTATTCTCGATTTAAGAGTTGTCATGCAGTTGATTATGGGGGATGGCTAACTTTTCTGCTTGTTTTTCCAGTTATAGCCGAAGTTTTAGACCATATTTTCATTATAGGGTTCTTAATTGCGTAAATGGGCAATAATTTGTATTTTTGTGCTAATTTTGCAAATTCACAAGGACAATCACTAAAAAGATATACCTTGTTCATAAATGCGGACCATGGCTCTTTGTCCCTCTCTTCGTATTTTGCTGATCTATTTAATTGAATGATCTATTTTCTATATCTTTTAAGCCTCTTTCTGCTATAACGTAACGCTAGACTTACACAATTACAAGTTATTCCCCCTATTCAAACGAGAGCATACCTAAAGCTATTCTATAATTACTAGAAATAGCTCTTGCTAGTACTGCCCGCAAACAATTAGTTCCTTGATAATGATTGTTTTGAAAATTTAGGTCAGGATATTCGAAGAAGACACCATCTTGGGTTTTCACAATTTTATAAAAACAGCTGCTCTAGTTGATGCTAAACTATTCTTTTTATCAAGAATTTTTGGCGTTCAGTTTGCCTTTGATTTAAGTCCAACGCCCTTTTGAAAATCATGAAAGTTTTTCAAGGGTTTGACATTTATTTTTCGATAGTCACGCCAATCATAACTTTTGCTCGTATAGTCTCGAGTTTTTGGGAGAAAGGTGTGGCATTCGACTGGTTTTGATTCCCAAAACTTCGAATCAAAACTTCCATCCATTGCGGAGAACCGAGCTGTGATGCAGCACCGTTTTCGTGCCAAAAAACCGAAGGCCTTTAACAGAGTCTTGGCAGAGCAACGCTCCGAAGATAATTCCCTTCCGCACAAAGAGGTGGCGGTTAACGACCTCCTCGACAAAGCCGATTGATTGACAATGAAATTGATTGACAGTTGTCATGGCAGCAGAAAAGTGACAAAATCTGCTGACAAAGTGCTGACAACATGAACTGAAGCTTCCATATGCTACTTATACGCGGGGCAGACTATAAGCCCTTCACTCGCGCGCTATCGCGCGCGAGTTGCGGGCAATAATATTTCCTCCATATTTTTTTAATTCAAGATCTGAAAAGATGTCATCTAATGAAAAATTTACATTACACAAACATCCTACATATAATTAGCTTCAAGTTATCAACTTCTTTCAAAACACATGTATTGCATTTAAAAATTGGAGTAAGATTTAATCCAAAGCAATCTCTTTTAGCTGGCGTTTGCGGATCTTCAAGCCTAATTGGACCTTCAGGAACAATCAGCTCCCCAAATTACCCCAACGGATATGGATTAAACGAGTATTGTCGGTGGGCTGTTACAGTAGCAAGCCACAAGAAGGCATCAATAGAGATAAAGAATTTGAAAACTGAACTCGGCTATGATTCATTGGAAATCAGAGATGGGTCCAATGGCCAGGTGATCTCCCGCCTCAGTGGCTTGTTGCCAAAACCAATGGTTTACACTTCGTCTTCTAACAAACTGGACTTGAAATTCATATCTGATGGCAAGAGTATTGGGGCTGTCGAAGGATTTAAAGCCGACTATTTTGCTTCAAGTATGATTTTCTTTGAATATGGAAACTTTGAAATGATCAGTATAACCAGGTTAATGTGATCTTTAACAGCTAATAAATTGAAGAGTTCCAACACTGAAGGGAAAGGATCTGACCGTCGTTTCTTCATCAGGGCTTGTAAACTTGAACGTTTTCCCCTCTTCTTCTTGATCATATTCTTATAAACTGTCTTTTCTCAAAACCTATATCCTGGCATACCCCCCTTCCCTTTTAAATTCAATTTTCTTCTCTCTATACAGCATGCGGTGGTCATTTGCAGAATATAGGAGATACTTTTACATCTCCCAGCTATCCTTCTAATTACCCAAGAGGAGTAAGCTGCGTATGGCAGTTTTCATTCAATGAACGAATAGAACTTGACTTCTCGGCATTCAAGACAACCAACAGCGAGGACAAGGTGCAAATTTGGAGTTCGCTCACCACCCTCACTTGTAAGTATACAAACCCTCAAGAATTGTCCTCTTTAATACCCTTAATCACTCTGAGATTTTTGCTCTTTTATACAAGTCCTTGAGAAGTTTGTTCTTCGAAAGTTAGAAAAAGATGGATAGTCAGAAACAAACAAGAAATTAACTCTCGCAGGCACGACAATTTACAACAATTATTTGCAAATAAGTGAAATGAAAGGTTTTCAAATATTACTACTATTGTCGCAAGACTTTTTTCTCAACTATTGACTTTGTCAACGAATTTTCCTTTTGCTTTCGAGTGTATATTTTTATTTAATGTTTATTTTTAAAGTACCTGAGTCGGAATTGATTGGAGACAGGTTTTATGCCAAAAGTGTCCTTGTTTTTCATGTCTCTTGCTAGTATGTAATCTTAAAAGTATAGTTAAGGATAAGTTTAGAATAATGAACTTTTCGAATTCCTAGTTTAGAAGCTTTCTTTGTATTAACACGGGACGAATCAGAAAAGAAATACATAGATACAAAGCGTAGGAAATTCGACATAATTTCCTCTTTTCAAACAGGATAATATATATCTATTAAGGGAAATCGAAACATGTTCTAGTTTCTCGATCCGAAATAAATCCAAATACAGTCTTAAGATCACAGTCCATCTCAATATTTTGGTAATGTTTTTCACGCAGTATATTCAAATTTCATGACAGGTTTTCAAGACAGTACATAAATGCAGTATGGAACGTTTTTTTCGCTTTTTCATGCAATCTTGAAGAATAAATGCAATTTTTTCAGAAATAGAAAATTGAGTTTACCAGCACGTGTAGTAATGTGGTAAATCGATTAATTTTCTTTCAGCTTCTACCTTTATTGGAGAATTCTACGGAAGCAAAGGATCTTTGCTCAAAGTACCATCTGACACCGGAGCCATGTACATCAAGTTTACGTCAGGATCTTACTATCCAAGTTCTGGCTTCCAAGCAACTATAAAAAGATCTTCGTCAGCGATAGGAAAATGAAGCTTACAAACCACAAGTCAAATATAAACTGGAAAATATATCTGCAATTATAAATAAATGGTGTTAAAGTGAAAATTGTATTTAATTATTCAATCTGCAAATACTGCCGTAGATGTATTGATTTTTCATAATTATGTTACAGAACAGAACTTTGAGTCCTTATATTTTACTACAATAAAATTCTTTGTAAGTTACTCAAAATGATTTTCCTTGCTTCTTAAGGTGTAACGAAATGACTATTTAATGCAAGTATCAACTTGTTATTCGGATAAAGAAATTTAAAGGCTAAATTGAGCACCTAAGGCTGTGTATTAAGATTAAAAAAGTAAGGCACAAAATTCAGTTACCGATTGGAGTTGTCTTCAAATGTTGGGTTTTGTTTGTGTGCAGCATGGAGATTACTGATTACTGGTTTGTCATAAAGTGCTAGATGCGGAATAGACAGGGGTGTAGACGCATTAGTGTATAGAACAGGACGGTTGTGAGATACACCTCCAAGTTACAAGCTTAGTGTGATCATCATGCATTGCAATATGTCTCAAATCATACTGGCACATACATGGGCTCCGACCCAGGCTGGAGAGCGGAGGGGCCAAGAGAAAGCATAACAATCATAACAAAAGGTTGTAAAAAAGCTTTATTGTTTTGCAAAAAAGTGAGGGGGCCATGCATCGCCCCCTTTGTTGGGGGCCCTGAGACATATTTGGCCAATTAAAGATAAAAGGAAAATAAAAAGTGAGATAATAGCATCGAGCACTCTTTGATCTATTTAATCTTTTATAGACAGACGGCAACTAGATGTATACAAATACGAAAAGACCAAAGTCAAAATATATTGAAAGGTGGAGAAGCAGGCTACTATAATCTTGCTGAATAAACTGCTATCGATCATTTTGTCTTTTATTTAGGCCATCAACTTAGTAATTACAGCACACTTTTTCGCAAACCTGTCCAGCCGACATTTCTTGCCAATTCTCATACTTGGTCTATTTTACCTTTTCTTTTCTTCTGATTAGTTCTGCCGTTCTCTTCTCTTGGTCCGATTAAGCGGCAATAGTTGACAAGAACAAAAATGGATTCCGATATGCATCCTACCATATCGCACTTTCCCAAGCAAGGGCCGGGTCTATATCTTCTTCGGAAATGCGAACGCCTAATTTTTTGATAGAATTTTGTAAAGTAAATCAAATAAATATGTTTTTGCGATTGCTGCGACTGAAACGCCAAAAATACGAAGGTCACACCTTTTCATGCACTGTTCGAACAGCATTCGAAATATTTTCAACTTTGTTCACCCAGAACTTGACCTCTTAGTGCAATGTTTTCTTGCATAGGACAAAAAAAAGTTTAATTTCACCGTGACGCTTCGAGAGAAACATCTCAACTAGTGTATAGTCAGTCATGCCTAGTATCTCAATATGAATACAGAACAAAAAATCTGATGCTTGATTTAATGAATAAAATGTTATACTGTCGCAGTGCAATGAATAGCTTGCAAGTGTTCTAATAGCTGTTGCATTCATGAAGAATGTAACTTGAAAGTCTTTGTACACAAATTCCACAGAAACCTGTCTCCTTGAAAGAGCACAAAATGACATGCATTGATTAAGTAAGTTTTCTGATAAATTTCTTTCATTGCCAGCCTGGAAAAAGACTGTACCTGTCTCACCACTCTGGTCCTTCATTATTTTGTCCAGATGCATCAGCCATTTCTACCTGGAAATATTTTAAAGTAACAGCAAATTTAATGAAACATTGTGAACTGCAGTGGAAACTCAATGCACAACAATTCATGAGACAATATCAGGCAAGACAGGAAGAAGATGTGACTAACAAGAAGGGCAAGTAAAGATTAGATAGCTTATTGCTAGTGACAAAGAAGATAATAAAAGCAAAAGCCATAATACATACATAGCTGTGCAGAAAATGTAGCAAAAACATAAAAGGTAAGTACCTCTTCATCTACAGACCCAACCTCAGGACTTGCAGTGTCAAACTCATCAGTGTCATCTTCAAGCTCTTCAACACTTTCTTCCTCATCTACATCTTCTTCATCTACTTCTGTTACCTTCATTTACGCAAAAAAAAAGAACATAATGTGTTCACCTAAGTCTGATTAAATATGCAGCAAAACATAATGATCTGAATTTAAATCAATTTCAAGATATGATGAACTAACTGTAAAAAGAACATGCTCAAGTTTTTGAAAAAATTGCAAAGTATTTTAACAATTTGATTTCATGTATTTCACTTCTGCACTGTTTTAGATTGTTGGATGGCTTCTAAACACAACAACTTTATATTGAGAAATGAACAGATTTTGAATGAATTACAATGCCATTAAACTTGTCAAATGTCCTTATTACAGCACTGTCAGTGGTTAAAATTTAAAAAGATAGTAAATGGAATTTGGATGAAAACTTAACACTCACTGTATGTTGTTCTTTCGTTTTTCCAATGGGAATTATATCCTTCCCTCTGTTTATTTCTTTTTGTAGCTAAAAAGTTTAAAAAGATCTGATTAAACAAAAAGACAATGGCCACTGGGATAGAAGGCAAAAGACTTTGTTTGAAAAACAAAAGGGAACAACAGGATCAACAAGATCAAGGAAGAAAATATATGCCCAGTTGTGGGTAGAATAGGCCAATCAGAAAAACGTGAGCATTTAACTAGTTAAGTTACCCAATCAGTACCAGATGCCAAAAGAAATAATACCATTGGAGTCCAAGGGTGAAAACAAACTCATTCTATCTACACAATAGCTGCTTTTTTCATGTAGATCAATTCCAAAACTGCTTGTTGAAAAAACAACTAGGCTCTGCCAATACACCTTTTAAACTTACTGCATCAAAGAGAACGGGGTCAAGATTTGGGGTGAAAGACCGTGCGTGTTGTGTTGTGATTCCTTGGGTTTATGCTTTGTGAAATACCAAAGTTTGGTTCATTTTCCTGAATTAGATCGAATCGTTGGCAGTTCATCAAGAAAGAACATTTTTTAAAAGCTACTGAAATATATCAGCGTTAGCAGTCAAAGTTTTCAAGTTACTTTGTCACTTTTGACATTTTTGTCACTTTTGAGCGATGGATTTGTCGTAGATTTGAAGTATGAAGAGTTTTTAAGATTTTCTGTGACTACATGAATTACAAGTAAAAGGTTCAGGGTTCCTTTTCTCCATTTCTTCAATTTGTAGTTGCCATTAGTGCAATTGATCACAGCACTGTTTCCATTTACCATACCTTCTTAGTAAACTTCTGTGCTAAATGGCAGCAAAAGGTAGGCAACAATGTCAGCTACTGAGGTTGAATCCTTCGATTAGCTTTTTAAAAAGCTTCTTGTTTAATGAACTGCCAAATGTTTGGATAAATTCAGGCAAACGAAACAAGCTTTTTCTCATTTGCAAAACACAAACCTAAGGAATCAGAACCCAACATGCGCGGTCTTTCACCCCAATGCTCCACCCAGTTCCATTTGATGTGGTTAGTTGAAAGAAAGTTGTATTATCTGAAACATGTCATCATTATGGCTATTGTCTTTGTCTACTATGCAGAACTGTCAACTCTCCCTGTTTTAATAGCTTGACAAATTTATCTATTTTGGCCTCAAGTTTAATTGTTCTCAGCTATGCATGTCGATAGATTCGATAGTTTGAGCATTTGAACAATAGTTGCTTGTTTGAGCAATGTATGCCCTTTCCTCCATAAATGGCATAATTCTCATTCAGTATACTGTTATAAAGGAATATACAACAGCTTGACAAATATTGGGGTGTGCCAGCCCCCCAGGCCCCACCCCCCGGCACTTCAAATGGCCTTGGGTAGTTTTGTTTCAGACAACAGAGCCTATTCCACCAAGAATGGGAATGCAAAAAGGGAAGTAAATTGAGGGGTTCTAGTTAGACTATTTTAGTTGTAATATTTTATCTTTCTTCATGACAAAATTTAGCACAGAACCCATATTGGGGCTGCAGAAAGGATCAATGGGCCCCAGGGCAGGAACAAGGATAAATCGCAAAGTGTGTCTAAGGCAGGCACTTCTAGTGGGTATGGGGGAATGTTTCCCCATGAATTTTTGATGGTAGACAATATTGCTCTGGTGGCCTTTTTCACCAAAATTTTTCTGGTGGCTATTACGTGTGTCAATTTTAATGTAATTCAAAGATAACTGATATATTAACGCTATTATAATATCTGGTAATCAACCCCAACACCCATAAAAATAAAGTCTTAGCCATAAATATGCAATTCTTTAAATTATAAGATTATCAAAACAGACACATTGTTGCAAATAGATTCAAGTACCACAGTTTAAATTTGTGTGTTGCACTTGTGCTGAACGTCTCAGTGATGCAGTCACAATTTTTAGGTAACATTCAAAAAGCTCTTCAAATTTTTGGGCTCAAGCCCACAGGGTTGCCATCGTCAAAATGGCCAAATTCCTATATTCTGGTCATTTTTCAAAGCTGTCAACAGCTTTGAAACTTGCTGTTGAAATTTGATTTGGCCAAAAAAGCAAAAGTTGGTCAAATTTTGGTCGCATGCCAGAAAAATACAAAGAAATTGACAACTTTAGCACAGGCAATATTCAACATATTGTTACAATAATCTCAAAATGGCAAATAACAAAGTCATGAAACAAAGTAAAAGATAGCAGAAAATTGAAAGCAAGTGGGAGCTTTTGTAACAAACAAAGCCTTTTTGATTAAACTATTACTCCACAGAATCAGCAAAAATGTAGCTTTTTGTATATTTTGTTTGGCTGGCCGAAATTTGCCATCAGTCGATAAGTATTTGGCCGCCGACCATTCCAAGCATCTGGCAACAATGCAAGCCCACCAAGATGGGATAATCTTAAGAAAAATATTGTTGGCTCTTTGCATTCAAACAAGGTGATCCAAAAAAAATCGCTGCTGTTTATCCTGAATGCCAAAATTACCTTCTGTCCTAAAAGCAATAAATGAAGTGCAAAAAGCTTTCTGTCTCTCCAGAGTCAAAAACAGATAATGCTTAGTTGTCAAAAATTCTAAGGTCGTTCAAAGCAATTATTTTGATAATTGGCCATTTTGCAGATGCTAAGCCAAGAAAATTTCTTAAATAGATTCACTGATAAAGAACAATTGTTTTGATAATTTACCAGAAAATCATAAAGAAATACTAGCTCTGTTTGATATATATAACATAATGGGTTTAATACTGTTTCTGTTTCTGCTATTCTCCATTCCGGGTCGACATCATTGATTTTGTATCTCGCTATCTATGGATCTTTCTCAAAAATGGACTTCAGAATTGAAGTCTTCATCATTAAGTTAGTTTATACTGAAAAAATCATATTGTTTGAACCGTTCGGTCGCGAGTTACTTTGTTTTGAATATTTAGATATTCACTGCTGCAGTGAAAAAATTTTACTACAAATTTTCAGCAACAAATTCCATTGAAATATATATGCATAGGAATTGAGATAAAGCTTGAAAATGGGTTAATTCGCTATCTGACGGCCCAAACAACTTGAAATTTTCAGCACAGACTAATTTCAACATGGAGATTCCAATTCTATGATCCATTTTTGCCAAATGTTAAGATGAAAATTGACCGGGTCAGAGAATATTACATTACTTCACTGAGTTAATATTTATGGGCCCATATAGCCATTTGCCCCCGGGTCAGTGACCGACCCCCCTGACCCCCCCCCCCATTCCGCAACACTGGCCCATATTGAAAGGAATGAGAAAATTCATGCCCACACTGCCAGTGACACTGGTATGGTTGTTACCTTTTTGTAGTATTCATCCTCGTCCTTGCTCAGTTGCGCATCTTCATCTACCTTCTTGTCAACTTGAAACCAAATATCATCTACTAAGCTAGGTTTGGAATTGGGAAAGAAAACGTAAGCCATTCCTGCGTAATGTTATGAAGAATTCGTACGATTGCAGCTAGGACATCGCCGCCATTGGGGAACAACAGCAACAACCAAGCTACGACGGAGTGAAAACAGAGATGCAAATATTCCTGAGACGTGCCTGGGGGTTTGGTGAGGTTCAACTTTCATAAAATGAATCCATAAAGAGAACTTAAGTGTGAGTAAAGAATAAAGCTGTATTTTTAGTACTTTTTTATTGGTTTTCATGATTGATTAAAGAAAAAAAATGCAAAAAAGCATTGGTGATAAGGTGAAATATACCAACTTTCTTTAAATAAATAAAATGAAGTTTTTCACTTTTATGCATAATGTACAAATAAAGGTTTTGAAAGAAATTGTTCCCAATACCCAAATTCAGAAAACTGTGTTACCATCTATCAAAGCCAAGAAAAGACGGACCTTTTGAGGTTTGGTGCGCAGTGTTAATGGAAACAGACCTCTGAAGCATTGAGGAAAACAGAGAACACTCAAAAGTTCAAAAAGAGCCACAGGACAATAAAAGATTTAACATCAAGTTTTAATAATCAGAATGCACTAATTGCTAGAAAAAATGGTTTGGTCAAATCCTGAACTTTTTATGTAACATTAAGATCTTAACATTATATTTCTGTTAAATTTTATCCTTCCATAGGTTTTGTATTTTAATATATTAAATTTGTTACTAAGAGTAGAGCGAGGCAGGTCCATGTCAGCATTTGCTGTCTCAAATTAAACTGTGCAATCAAATATAAAATGTAACTGTGTATACATGTATCAGACAGGCAATAGAATTCAAATTGTATTCAGAATATAACAATCAATGTAATAAGCATTTTGATTGGACGGAAAATAAAGAAAAATTTGAAACAGAAATACCAGTTGAAAATAATCCTCAATTCCAGCAAACATATACATTTAGGGTACAAAAGTATGGAAACAGTAGTCAAAAACGGTGGCTTGCAGTGGCCAAGGGCCTTAGCTGACAAACCTCCAAAACAAAATTACTAGGTGAAGGGGCCTTCAAGGCTAGAGACTTTGACAGGAAAATACTATGTATTTTCAATGGCTTTGGAAAAAAAATTTGAAATATTATTCTACTGTTTGTAAGTCTGTAATTCATGTAATTCTAAAAAACTCTCTGTGAAACTTCTAGCCAGGGTTTCAGAAAAATTCTGGAAAAAACTTTGAAGGATTCATAAAAAGTTCCGATAAAATGTACATTTACAGGCCTCTCTGGGGAAAAAGCAATGCGGCTATAAAAATCCCTTGCCAGTTTGGCTGGGTGGGCTATTCAGCGCTTGCAGATCTGTTGTTAATTTTTTTATAATTGAGTATTTACAATGGCAAAATGCATTATGCGAATAATGAAAAGTTGATAATAACGGGTTGCTCAACGGACACCTAAGTAATTCTTGTGGCAAAATATTGATAAAATGTGTTGCAAAATAAGAAAAACTGCAATGCGATGAGAATGAACAACAACAAATACACGGAATCAGTGAAGGCTAATATTTCTCCCTGGCATACAGGGCTTCATCATGGCAAAAGTAAACGGACTGAGAGTAAAATACATTACCTAGCCGATTCTTTAAACACTATTCACTTTTAACACTTTAAACATTTTGGTGTGTATTAGTACCTTTAAATTTTGTTTTATCACTGCTCAAAAGAAGACAAAAGAGGAACACAACTTTTTCAGTTTTGAAAATGAGTGAGATTTTTTAAAAGGAAGGGAAAATGGTTCAGAATGAATCCTTCCTGCCACATAACCAAAAGTAGGGTCCAGGGGCGTAGACCCAGAAACTTTTATTTTACCACCGACTCTTGTTCTTCGGAAAGGCCTTTTTTGAGCAGGGACTGCACAGAAGCGGGTGGGGGATTGAGAGGGCTTTGTTTTTTTATTCTATTCCGTTTTTATTGAGAAAAAACTTATAACAGTACATAACCATGAATAATTTAATCTGGTGCATGTGGGCTGCACAAATGATCGCAAAAGTGCACATCACTGTGGACCAGGAATGCAGAGGAAGGAATGCAGGCGTACAATCAAGCAGAGCATGTAGTTTAGCTGCAACCCCAAGTATCATTCTCGAGGAAAAGTTACTCCACTCTGATCGCTCTGATTGCAATCTGCTAAATTGAAACTTTAGGGATATTATGCTCCTCTTTTACATTTCCAATCTATGTGTGTCATTTAGTCACAAAAAAGCTAACCTGCTATTTGTGTAGGCTTGCCAATAAATGTAACATCGCCTGTACGGATTGGCTGTTATCCAGTAACCTAATTATCTAGTAGCTGTTATTGTGTTAACATGCCTTGTTAGGAAAGAAAGATTTTGCTAGGATTTGCAATAAAATAAAAATAAATTAAATAAACCGAGAAGTTTCTTGCAAAATGCATGAGAAATCTGCTTGGATGCATTTAAGCATGAGAAAGGACCAAAATGTGTGTGTCTCACACAAAATGCATGTGACTTGGTAGGTCTGTGATTATAGGGGTAGCACTCTGTTTGGTCATTTGATGATGTCAAGTTTAGTTCTTCACAAACTTCTTTTCAAAAGTTTCTTTGTGCAACTTACTTTTGCCAGATTTTAAGCATTAAATTGCCTTACAAAAGAATCTCTGGTGTGAAAGGGGACTTCTTGTCCTAAGTTATAAACTCCAAAAAGGTATTTATTTAATAAGCTTGTATCAACCAACACATGATAATTTTTGAAAATAAATAAACCCCTCTTAACTTTGCTTCATCATACATATGAACTTTTTGCAGGTAAAAAATTTGTGTTGGAAACGGCGAGGCCCATAGTCTTGTTATTACAAATGCATTTTAAAAAAATCTCAGCCTACATAAAAATGTTGAATGTGGATGGAAAAAACAATTATTTATATTCAATTTTTTAGTTTGCTAACTGGTTTAAAAATACACCTAACTCTATTGTCAGTCTCCACAAGCTGTCCTTCTATTTCTCCAAACCCCTCTAGCTTTGCTAAAACCTCATTCAATAAATCTGTACACTGGTTTTTAGATCTCCTTTTCTTGTTAATAATGAGTTTGACTTTATCATCTTCACCAAGAAAATCTTTCATTTTATTTATTTTCCAAGAGAAATCTTGCTCACCAATATCTGTACTAAAGCTAAGCTCTTTCACCTTTTGTTTCTTATTTATCTCCTTCGCTCTTTTTGTTTTTGTTTTCTTTATCTCATATATATCTTTCTTGCTGAGCAATTTATAAATAGCATGTGGGCTTTGATGAGAAACTGGCTTTGCTAAGTACAGCTCCAGTTCTTTTTCGTTTGCCAGCTGTCTCGCATTGTAGAATGACATTAACCCAATGCTTTTTCCATGCTCATCAATGAGATGTATTTGTCCATCTCTGCTAATTGAATCGCTAGAAAGTTTTGCTGTATCACTGACGCAAAAATTCACTGACAATTTCCAATGCAAAAATGTATTACGTGCTACAGGCCTCCCGATGAAAAATCCCTTGGAGTCTTTCCTAACATCATTAGCAATCGACGGACATCTGCTCAAAATGTTTATTGGTCGTTGCTGAATTCGCAGAGTGGAATTCAACATCAGTTGACTTGAGATAGCATTCAGCCAGTGCCATCTTGTAAGCTTTGAAAACGATCTCTGCATCATAAATAGGGATTATTGTAGTACAACAGCCTGAACTTACTGACCGACTTCTACTAAACTTTTGTGTTGTTCAAGTGTGTTGTTGCCGTTGTGTTTTACTGCCATGTTATTTTTACCTCCATCTCATTATTGTAAAACTGTACTGACTTGAGGTTTTACCACTGATTTTTTATCAGAGTCCTGCGCTCAGGCTACTGATTTTGTGATGATAAAAGTTCAGCATAAATGACACAAATAATAGCGACACAAACGAAACAGCAGAACTCCTTGAAACTTGACTCTCTAGAGTTGATGACTTGTTAACTTTGACGCTAATAGTGAGCACCAAATTCGATACAAAGTTAAAGATCGATCGATACAATATGATTTATCTACATACATACAATTTTCAATAAATTGCCCGGGACACTGAGAGAACCGAAAAGGTTTTCGAGCCCAATGAACAGGGGGAGTTGAGGTTGACCAGGGGGAGTTGAATTATGATACAGCACGCGACGAATGCTTAGGCGCAAATTTGCAAAATGTTTTCGTGGATCTTTTGACGATCTTTACCTGATGCTCGATGCTGTAACGGCAGAACTTGTAAACGCTGTGGTTTATATAACAGAACGGTTTCAAGTTTCAACTCCGTGTTTCATGTCTTATTCATAGACCATGAGGTATGATTTATATTCAGAGGATAAAGCTTGCCCGAACCCTTGTTATTCTTTTTTTAATCATTCAAGAACTACATAAAAAACATCTCAAAAACTTGCCCTTACTATTATTGACCAAAAGGAGTTTCCTTTTTATACCTACTTATATTCCTGCGAATCCTTTTTTCTCTAAGAATTTCAAATACATAAAAATACTCAAAACGCCAGGCCCATAGCGAAACGTTCAGGGCCTTCGGTTTGGCGATGCATGCTGTGTTTGAATCCCTGTGTTCAACTTTTGCACTGCACATCAAGGGCTTCATTCCACCAGCCACGTTATTATTTTGGTCAAGCTGATCAAGTTCTAATAAATGGCTGCAAAGAGTCAAATATTAAATTTTGCTTTGAAAATCTGTGGGCTCGGGCCTTTTGCCACTGCGGGCCATCATATCATATTTGACTACAGTTTCTATACTTTTGTACCCTAAGTGAATATAAGAGGGGCGAGCTGCAAATTGCGTTCAATTGGCATAAAAGCTGAAACCAAAAATTACTATATAAATCAAGGCATCCAGGCTTTTTAGTTTATGGAAGGCTTTCATTTCATTATGGCTTATTAGCAGGGGTACGGAGTTTGTGCATAGCAACACCCTGGGTTACCAAGCCTTACGTTTTAGAACCCCTCAGAATAATTTCTAGATCCGCCCCTGACTGATATACTTAGGTTACAATTGGTTTCAGGCAGACTTCTTTTTTAGGCTTTTAACAGGAATTTCATTAGTTTTAGGAAGAAATCGATCCATGTATATATGAATTTTGCTTTGCACTAAATGCTCAAATAAATAAGCAAGTTGCTCAATTAAATAAAAGGAAACTAAATTGGCCACTGCAAAATGTGAACATGAGAGGAGTCTCAGCAAGAAAACCAGTAGACTCTTATCCAAAGACAACCTAACTCGAGAGTGGGTTAAGATCGACTCAACGTAACTAATTTAGATTCTAAGTTAGAAGTCACCAAGTTAGAAATTAGAAGGTTGGTGACAAAGTGACAAAAAACAGTACTGACCAAAACATCGAAAAACAACTTTATCAATTTTGTACAAACAAGACAGGCAAAATTAGTTTTGGAGAATAATTGCATTGAAGAAAATAGATATAATATTTACTTTAATGCCCAAAATTTGGAGGTAGCACGAAAAGGCGGAAGCATATATCATACTTAGGTATACTTCTGACGACCCGACACACGTTAAGAGTAAAAACGTCGGATAATCATGGCCTTAGGCTTGTATGGCTTTTTTACTTATTAGTAGAATGTAAAGAATTTTGAAGGCGATCAAATGTCAAAACCCATTAATGCCACGATTCTCTGTCTTGAGTCAAATTTATCAATAAAGTTTTCCAGATCTATTGAATGGCTATGTACAGTTGTGTATGTTTTTGTGGCACGACCATCCGGTGGAGTCGAGTTTCGCCACTGAACTGGCGAAAACCCGCTCTCCATCGCAGAGGCATTTGTTGGCAACCGAGCTTCTAGCTCTGACGAAAAAGGTTGATTGCTTGCCACAGCCTCAGCCTCTTCGACGGAGAGTGGCGAAAACGAGACTTGAAACACGTACAGGGGGGGGGGGCGTAGCCCTTTTCAGCGAGATCTCGGGTGTGCCTTTTTGCATGTGAGAGACAATCAGATGCTTTGGAGAGATCCATAAGGACAGTTTCCAAAATGTTCTTACTATCTGCGCAATTTTGAGATCTTAAATATATCTTATAACATGTTGTGTTTCATAACTTTTACGAAAGCCACAAAGGAGGAGCAAAGATAGCAGATGGCAAATGAACGTATATTAGTTGATTGAAAAATAACCCTCTTAAAGATTTTTGAGGTAGCAGGCAAGATACTGACTGGTCTATAGTTTTTCTTGCTTGTCTATGGGTGTGCCTTTCTTATGTGTAGGTATGACATCTGCTTCTTTTAGGTTGGATTGGAATCTTTTTTATTCTTAACAATTATCGAATATATCTGTATGTTGCCCAGGGGAGTCACTCAAACTTTTATTTATGGGGAGGACCATCCGCAATTATCAAAATTCACACAAGATATACCACTAAGCAGTAATTTAGCCTGTTTCCTGTAATAATCAGTTTAAACATATCTTTTCTTTTAAATTCTTGTTTTTGATATTGTTTTGTGTTAGTTGGACCAATAAGTACCAAAAAGGTATATTGTTAAAGCAGGTACCAAAAATCACATCACCAACAAAATTCTTACCCATAATTATCGGATAGACCTCGTTGTATTGAAAAATATCAAGTTACCCCCTGGGGTATGTTGGCACTAAATTTCTGTTATTGCTTACTTTAGTATTTTTGCTCGTATTTGGTCTCGTCCAGTAGTTTTACCAGCATTTAATAAGGAAAAGATACCAGTTTTTATCATTTTTAAAGGTTCATCTGCTATATTTGTTGGGGTGTAGCTCCTATTTCTCTAATCATAGTTACTTTAAGACTGCAAAAATAAGGAACAAATCCAATGCTGTAGTGCACAGTTGATACTAACAAAAATGCAGCAAAAGAGCTATATGCACTGCGAGCGAAGCGAGCAAAAAATCTTTAAATTAGCTTGAAACATGTTTCAGAATGTTTTTTACAGTCGTTTACCTCGTTTTACAAATTTTTAGGCAAACTTTGTTGTGTTTCGTTAAAATTCAATTCTTAAATTGGAATTCCTTGCTTTAAGAGGACCCCTAGACCTCGAGGCCTTGGGACAGTTTGTCCCTCCTTGTCTCTCTCTCGGCATCCCTGGTCACATTTCACGCATCTCTTTCACAGTTGCCTGTTTGTAAATGTTGACCTCCTCTAATTCTGAACTGTGAACCTGAGTATAAATGTAAGTGAGGCGTTTTCTCACCAAAGATTTTGTTCATAATATATATTTTCCTGGGTTTTACAAACTCACTTGAAAGGGGCCCACCGAGAAATTTCCCGGTGTCCCGCCTAGCCACAACGCCCCTGGTAAGCAATACTGAAATGTTTTCTTTCTATGGATTTTATCTTCATTTCTGTGATTTGTATTATCTTGAACATAGATGTCTTTGAAATTAACAGAGCTATTTATGTTTCAAATTAACCAGGAAAATCAAAGTAACTTTCTTCAAAAAGAGTTTATCAAAATAGTCAACTGCATTGCTATAATACGAGACAATTGTCCGATCTTTGTGTCTCTCTGCCCTCTATTTCTACAAATTTCAAAAAAACTTTTTAACATTTGATGGGGGCAAGCTCTGGAACTTCTTGCCAATTGAACTTAAGAATACTCGAAACAAAAATCCTTTTAAAAAATGATGAAAATATACCTTCAACTCCTAACACCACAGAACTCCTAAGCAACTATGAATTGCTCAACATTTCTCAAATATATCCCTAACCATTAAAACTTATCAGCTTACTGCCTTTATATTTTTTTTCTATACCTTTTCCTACTGTTATATATAACTTCAAACTGAAATGGAAATCTTTTGTTTAAATACGTCATTAGGGCACATGACTCGATAGCTCTTCACGAGTTTTTTTCATGTTTCCTTCAGCATAACAAATCTGATGTGATTGTTGTACTTAATTTACTAAATTTTGAAATTGCTAATTTTTGTATTTTAACTTTGAATGTTTGGTATATTGTAATTAACATTTGTTCTTCCTGATAAAAGATTCTGAGTTTGAATTTATCTACGCCCGGTTATAAGTTGGGAGGGCTCGGGTTGCGATCGCAACCTAGCATCCCTGCCAGTCCGCCACTGGTTACCAGATACAAAATTTATATTGGTATTCTTGAAATAATTTCTAATTTTTTTCTTACATGTTTGACACAGTTGTTTCTTAGCCTCTTGTACTTGTTACAGATATCTGAACTGTTGTCTCACATTTATCAAATTTGGTTGTTTGTGAATTGCTCTAGGCATAAAAGAAGCTTTATTTGCTCTGACCACATTCTATTTTAGTGGGGCATGCTTATCCAAAGTGCTATCTCCAGGTTTTGGCCACCGAGAGGGAGAGGCCAGGCCCTAGGGCAACCAATGAGTGTAGGCCCTTGTATGAAATGACAACAAATAGAGATTCCATAATTACTGGCGCTAGATTGGACCCGGGCTTCAGAGAACTTGCTCCGGCAACTCCCCTCTGTCGGCGGTCCTACTCTAGTTGTATGTACGCACGGTGTTTTGGTTTCCATAAATCTTCCGTATGCGTTATTCGGTTTCCAAGCGGACTTTCCAAGGGCGATATGCCTCTTGCTTAACCATAAAACATCACTCAAAACCAGTATTTGAAAGTTGTTGTCTGGGGCTGAAGGATACGAAATATTGGAGTCTGAGTTCTATCTGGATTCGCCACAGAATTGATAGATTTTACTATGATATCAGATTCGGTGCTCGATATCACGAGAATCGACTTTGGGATTTTATTGGTTTCTAAGAAAACAAAAATGCAATCCATAGGGACCCCAGAAAAGAATTGCAACCAATGAGAACTTGAACGGGAACTGACCCGTCAATCATTGTGCGCTCCCATTATCTCCACCTTAAAACTCTGTGCGCGTGTCTCTATTGCCCTCTCCTGCCTTCGCTGCAGTCTGCCAGAGGTTGTGGAAATCATGGATTGAAGTGAACATAGAAGATAGAACGTATCGTAAGTAGTTTTTTACTCAAGACCAGTATTTGAAAGTTGTTGTCTGGGGCTGAAGGATAGGATACGAAATATTGGAATCTGAGTTCGCCACAGAATTGATAGATTTTACTGTGATATCACATTCGGTGCTCGATATCACGAGAATCGACTTTGGGATTTTATTGGTTTCTAAGAAAACAAAAATGCAATCCATTGGGACCCCAGAAAAGGATTGCAACCAATGAGAACTTGAACGGGAACTGACCCGTCAATCATTGTGCGCTCCCATTATCTCCATCTTAAAACTCTGTGCGCGTGTCTCTATTGCCCTCTCCTGCCTTCGCTGCAGTCTGCCAGAGGTTGTGGAAATCATGGATTGAAGTGAACATAGAAGATAGAACGTATCGTAAGTAGTTTTTTACTCAAGACCAGTATTTGAAAGTTGTTGTCTGGGGCTGAAGGATACGAAATATTGGAGTCTGAGTTCTATCTGGATTCGCCACAGAATTGATAGATTTTACTGTGATATCACATTCGGTGCTACCCTGGGTACCAGACTCACTATATAAAATAATAGAGAGTCTGGTCTAGTGCGCCCCATTCTCGTTCTGGTGAACTTACTTGAAAGAACTGAAGTCTATTTAACAGACTAGGCCTGTGAAACAAGACTGTCAGATAAATAACAAAGAAACTCAGTAGTCAGAGGAGTTTTGGGAAATCTTAAAGCAAATGTGTTTTATTTAGTTCTTTAAAGTCGACATTTTTAATACAGTGGTAATAGACTTTTCTGCCTCAAGATAACAATCAAATCAGGTTTAAAACGCCATTTGGCATTAAAAAACATGTGCGAAGGATGAAATTAAAGTTAGCACAATGCAGTTATTAAATGTTAATCATTATCAAATTTCGTATGCAACTTAAAATAAGTCTTTTGTAATTTTCCTCATAAATTGTGTGTACTTTGAACGTCTACTTCCTCACTGTGAAGGCAGCGCGCTTGGACACCGCGGCGGTTAGAATCATCACGTTGGAAGGTCACCACAGCAAATATGGCCAATACGACAAGCGAAGCCCCGTATGCCAGGCGAAATATTTGCTATAACTGATTAACTGTGTTTGTTGTTGTTTGTTCTCGGCGCCTTGCGATGTTTTTTATTTACTGCATTTCACTACAAGGCCTAATTTCTTTGCAACGAGAGGCACAGCCTGAAATATCAGAGACTTTCCAAAGCCAGTTGGCAATATGGCGAAGGTGTCTCTTCTTTTTACAAACAAGGCTTTCAATGCTGTTCTGTGTTCAGTTCCACAACATGCGGAAAATATTCTTTGAGTCCAGTTTTAACAGCATCTTCAAACTCAATCGTTACGGTCGCTAGCATTTATTTATGTTCTGTTCTGTTCAATGTTTTACACCAGAGCTAAGTTTATTGTTTCGCTGTGACCTTTGAACGTACAGAAATCTGTACACTCGCTCCTGATTGGTTAATATCAGCACACCAGAACGAGAATGGGGCGCACTAGACCAGACTCTCTATTTTATTTCATATATAGTGAGTCTGGTACCCAGGGTAATTCGGTGCTCGATATCATGAGAATCGACTTTGGGATTTTATTGGTTTCGACTGACGATTTCATTTTAGAATGCAGTTTATGTCGCCTGATATTGATGATTCCAATATCTTAATTTTTAAGTTTAGATTTTCTTAAAACATTTTGCATCTTGGCCTAAAGTGGTTCTTGAATCATTCTTAGAATTTGGAAAGAATCGAAAATTTTGAAAAAAATTTAAGATCTTTGCTTTTTTTATCATTATCAAAAAAACATTTTTGGAAATGAAACACACTAAATTTTCAAAAAGAATGCATTAGGCTGCGTTCACACTGCAGCGAAAAAGCGAAGCGAAGCGAACAGAAGCGAACGGAACAACATGCAGCGAGCTTAATATCGCGAATCAGACAGTTGTGCAGGGTGAAGTTTGATACCGGAATGGCTTATTTAAAACGAAAAAGAATGCTTTTATCTGAAAGTTTTTTCTTAAATATTCTTTTCTTTCCAAACGAAGACTATTCTGGGTTCTGATTTTTATTAAAAATAGATATTTGCTTTTATCTGGTGAATATCGTTATTTGGTGCCGCAGTTGAGGAATGACAAGGCTATTTCAGATACAGAATGTATTTATCTATGTTTGACTCGTTATTTCAGTGTCGTTGGAAATAAACTTATATTGGTGGGGGGATGTCTATTGTTTTGCTTCCCATATAAAGTACAGTTGGCAATTATTGGGGGCCACCCTTTTCCCCAAATATGAGGCCATGTACTTTAATACTGTTCTGGTTGAAGACCAGTATCGTCAGACTATTCCCGGTAACTAATCGGTTGTATGGCAACGATATAATCGACGCCCATTGTTGTTATTCCTTTCCGTTCGCAGCGATCAAATACATGAGAAGTAATCTTGTCGCACCGTGTCGCTATCGCTCTTTCTTGATGTGAACAGGCGTATTGTTTTCAGTACAAACTATCTGAACGCTAAATCGCTCATTCGCTTCGCTTCACTATTTCGCTCTCGGTGTGTACGCAGCCTTACTTTGTTCAAAATAGCATCATTTGTGTCGTCTTTTCAACAATACCAAACATTTGATAGGCGTACGGCAATTTTTGGACGTGAAATTCTTGAAAATCTTTCTGAAGCAATAAAAACATAATAAACCTGGATCAATTGCACAAGAATGTTTTGTAAAAATATAAGCGGAACCAAATTTGCAAACAAAAATTTAATCGCTATGAAATATTTACCGGAAAGAAACCTTTAGTTTCTGGGGAAATCGCTCGACAAGTTAGATGGAGCCATATAACATCAAAAAGTTTTTCTCGAGAGTGGTTTGATGGTAATGAAACCGAGACGTGGACTACAAAAGATATTATTGATGTTAGAAGCGAGATATTTTTGTCTGTTAGTCTGTTTCTGTTACTCTTTACAGCGTTTACGCTTTGCTACACGAAGGGACAAGAAACTCGACGCCTTGAAGAGACATGAAAGCCGAGCAAGTTTTTGAAGCCCTGTTTCCTTAAAGACAGATAATATTGACTGTTCTACACAAATACCATATAAAGAGTTGCCTGATTAACAGATTCGAACACTAGGGGAAGAGGGTTTACCTTGGAGAAAAATTACGGGGATGTGCCTGAAAAAAATTACGATCCTGTCCTGGATTAAAATTCAGAAAACATGATACCTGTCCTTGAATAAAATCGAGGAAACCAATGGTTTGCTTGATCTAAATTTGACTGATAACGCATTTTTAAATCGATGTGGAAAGTCAACTTCTCCATGAATTCTAAACTCGAGTGTTGCGGAGGAGAGATTGAAGAAATGCGGAAAAAGGAGATTAAGGACAATTGTGGTTTGTGAATAGTAAAATAGGAGAAGACTCGTGAGGGTGATTGTTCGGGAGAGGAAACCTATGCAGCGAAATTTACAATTCCAATATTTTAAATGTTGTTTAGAACCCTGTTTTAAACAGAGTTAATCATCCCTTTGTTGCTATCGTTTAACCTCGCTTTCACTTCCTGTCACGTGCAGGCTATCCTAGAACATCCGGGATATTTGTACTACGAGGCTACGCCCCCTCTACGGGACGAGTGCTACGCCCCCTCTCCAAGGTCAATGCATGCTGCAAACGGTTGTTTGCCGCTGCAGCAACGTTCAATCTTTTAAGTCCCTCCCACCCGCCTCTTTTTCTTTGTCAGCTTATTCTTCCAATCTGGCTATCATTTTTTTTCCTGAAGACATTTTTTCGTCTTATGGGCAGGTGCGTCAGTCGGGAAAATGTTCCCAGTGGCGACACCGACCTTAGAAATCGGTCTTCTCCAGGCAGTACAAGGGCTGGTGCACTTAGCAAGCCCACTTCCTGGAATAAGGTTTTTCTAGATATTTCTAGATAAGTATTTCATTACTTGGCAACCATTTTGGGGGCAAATTGTTGATAATTTATCCAATCTTTTTCTGCATGTCAAACTGCCTTCATATTGAGAATTCAAAATTTCTATGACCTGGCGTTCTCCGTTTATAACCAGGGGTCTGGACCAGAGTACCCCAGTCTAAAAATAGAATTTTTATCGGCTCGTTAAACTGCCTTTATATTGTGAATTTCAACTTTCTATGAACTGGCATTCTCTGTTTATGGCCAATTGTGTAAAACAACACTGTTTTCCAGTTGCCCTAGTTAGTCCAGTACAAAGGAAACAACAGTTTATTCCAACAAGAAACAGAACATATGAATAATCAGCGATGAAAACCACAAGCAATAGTTCAGCAATTTAATACAACAAGCAATATTCGTCGGCGGCAATAATGTTCGGCGGGTACACTGTACTGAATTCAACGGTTAACTGCAACTTCATAAAACGGAACGGCTTTGACACGACTTCACTCCTCGGCTTTACACTACGACTCAATTTAACGACTTTCCTTGACGGCTTTAACTAACGACTGACTCAACATAAAACAGCATGGCAATATAATGAATAACATAACACATGACCAAGAGACAATAGGACGCTGACAACAAGTGATGGCAACTAATGAGAAATGTCATGGCAACGGATTACAGATTGTTGGAAATACCCCAACCTTGCGAGTTCACTCGTATAAAATAGCGAAACTTTAGCGATGAATTCTCTTTTTGCGACTTCACCAAAACTCAACATAACAACTCAACTTGAAACATGATACCCTGCTGTTCTAACTACAAACAGTGTGAATATAAAATGCGGACCCAAGTCCTCATGGTTAAATGGCTATAATATTTTTAAACACTCCCCCCAATCAAGAAGTTAATCTTCTTGATTCAAAACCCGAGTTTGTAGTTCTCTCGTTTCTTCTCCGGCAAACGCAGCTAGTCTTCTTGGTCTTTTCTTGGTCCTCTCTTCTACGTCTTCCCCATCTGGTGTAGATTTCCTCTCAGCAGCCGGTGCTTTTATTTCTAACGACGCAATACCTTGCAATGGTCTTTCCAATTCTATCACGCTTTCCTTGGCTCAAAACGTGCAGTTTAACAGCTCTTATCATTCGATCTCTGCTCTTTATATGATCGACTATCTTCGCCATTCGCCAATGTCTTCTCTGGATGGTGCTGTCAACGATAAGCACGATTTCTCCGATTTCCGGCACTCTCGATTTTCGGTCAGCTTGTCTTTGGTACTCTTTCAGTCCCTGTAAGTACTCGCGAGTCCATCTCTTCCACAAATGAGCCTTTATTGTCGACACGTACTTAAGACGCTTATTTACCCTTGCAGAAGACTCCTCATCGTCACTCATTTCTTCATTGGCATCGTTTGCATCGTTGGCGATGGTTGGCAAAGCATATCCGAAAATCGTGCGATTAGGCGTCAGAGGTTCACTTTCAAGCTCATCCGTCTGGTAGGTCAGCGGTCGGTTGTTCATCAAGCCTTCTACCTGTATGAGCATTTTCTCAACCTCTCTGAAACTCAGCTTCGAACGTCCCAAGACTTTGTACAAGGTCGATTTCGAGATTTCGACCAGTCTTTCGAAGAATCCTCCTTGCCACGGTGCCTTGGAAACGTTGAATATCCAGTCTATTCTCTTCGTCGTTAAATATTCTTGCCAATTTTCGTTGTCGCATATCTTCTTCAACTGTTTTCCCGTGCTTTTAAACGTCTTTGTATTGTCGCTAATGACTGTGCTAGGTGCTCCTCTGCGACTAACAAATCTTTGCAGAACCACCCTAAACTCAGTAGCTGTCATGTCCTTTATAAGCTCCAAATGAACAGCTCGTCCAGTTACCTCACATGGACGTGCTGGTTTAACCCGAAGTTCCGGTAACGGAGATGTGACTGTTCCCTTTAGCAGCTTGGAACTTCTCTTTGCGCATTGCTTGCACTCTTTCAGCACTTTCTTCACTACTTGCCTGCCCTTTGGAATCCAATATCTTTGTCTGACCTCGGCTAACGTCATACTCACCAATCCGTGAAGTACAAGTTCGTGTGCTTCTTTCACTACCAAATTGGTATAATGGTGTCCTCTTGGTAACAACGCTGGATTCTGTACTTCAAACGACAATCCAGAAAACTGCAGCTGTTGCACCAACTGCTTGTAATTTGCACTCTCTTCAATTTCGGATTTTACTACTTTCACCCACCTTTCTTCCGCTTCCTTTACTTCGTCCGTTGTAACGTATTTCAGTTGGAGCCTATCTCCCTTGCTTGCCCTGCAGTTCTTCATAAAACGCAAAATCCACGCAGTTACACCAAGTAATCTTCTCTTTGAGCTATAATCTTTCAACCTTATCAAACTTGAAAGTCCCCTTTCTTTTATCGTCGTGGCCATCTGTAACACTGGATTTATTTCTTCATCTTCGATTTCCTTTTCCCTTGACAAGATGGGCTGTTCTGGCCACTGATCAGAAATCAGCCACGATGGTCCCTGCCACCACAGGTCACTTCCTTGTAATTGTAGCGGTGTTTTGCCCCTTGTGCCAAGATCCGCCGGATTTTCGCTTGTTGGACAATACTGCCATGTTGCACCATTTGACAGATGTTCGATTTCCTTGACTCTGTGTTCAACAAACTGGCGATACTGACCTCGTCTTTGCAGCCAATGGAGAGCCGTGCAACTATCCGACAACATGCAGACCCGTTTTAACTCAAATCCTGCCAGTGCTTGTTTTACTGTCGCTGCCAACCTTGCCGCAATCCTTGCTGCTGTCAACTCCAAACGTGGAATGGTCATTTCCTTCTTCAATGGAGGCAGCCTGGTTTTAGCAGTCAGCAGGTTACTGAACTTTCCTTGCGGCAACATCACAACCAAATACACGGCCGCGCAGTAGGCTGTTTGACTTGCATCTGCGAAGGTGTGCAATGACATCTCCTTTGGCTTCTCTGACAATGCAACACATCTTGGGAACTCTATCTCTGACCTTTGCTTCAAATTCCTTTCAAATGTCTTCCATCTACCATGCAGATCTTCACTGACCAAACTGTCCCAAGTTATACCTTCTTTGCAAGCATCTTGGAAGATCTTTCTACCAACAATGGTGATAGGACCCGCAACTCCTAATGGGTCATAGATTCTGGACAAGCGGCTCAGCAACTCCCTTTTGGTCATGCGTAGATCCCTTTCTGCTTCCTCTGCAACCTGTGACAATTCCACCGCCATTATATCACTCCTTGGATTCCACTTTATCTTTTAGCAAAATTTATTTGGATAAAATACTCTTTTTCGAACAGGAAGTGATACAGGCCTGCATTGCCAATTTGACAGTTTCAGTTTTCAGTTTCCAATCATCATCAATCAATCAAGATACTATTTCCAAAAAGACACGCTACAACCAAATACATTATAAAATTACAAACTTAAATTTATCAATACTGGCTGAAAATAAGACATTAGTTACAAGGAGTTATCCAACTAAGTTAACTAATCGAGAGAGAGCCACCCCCCCCCCTTTCATAACGAGAAACAGATACATTAAAATCTTTTACTAACAGAATAAAGAGTTATAGTGGCAGATGATGAGAAAATACCTTAGAGAAAATACCTGCAGTCCCTAAAAAGTTTCTTGTAAAGTTCAGTGGCGTGACCATTGAAGCTCGTCTATCAGCACCCCTAAGCAATGGCATAGCCAGGGTTGGGAAATTGAATGGGGAAAGGAGAGATACCATAGGGGAAAGTTTTGTTGCCCACACTCTCAAGAATTAGAGAGAACGCCCCGTTTTTCAAATTTGTTTAAAAAATGCTATGGATTCTTTTACATGGGAATGGTTGGCAGTCAAATTTAGCTTTTTGTGGCTGGCCCTTTCTTTTCTACAACTCAGTGTTTATTTAAAGGTATATTTATCGCTGCAAATGTTCACAATTTTTGAAAATTTTGGTTTTGCCATTTGAAATTACGACACCTATCCAACTAACTGTTTGCGAAATAATCAAGTTACACCAGCTCTAACCCAAGCTTTACAAGAGATTTCGACGAGGAAGAGTGGTAGACCAAGTTTAAACAATTTTTCGAGATCAAAATCTCAAAGGAGGAGACGAAGAACAAAACAAACTAGATAGCTTCTAGATACTGATATTTATATAATTATAGAGAGACTCATTGCTTATGACCGTTATTACTGTTATATTCTCTTTTTTAATATTGTATTGCTCTTTTATAAGCTTTATATGTCTACTGGTAGTTGCTGCAGTTTTACTTTTTCACACTATCTGATCTCTTTTTTCTAAGTTTTATAACTGTAAAAATTTGAATCTATCACTGCATAGCCACAAATTGGTTATCACTGCATGTTAAAATAGACCCTGCGTACAACTGGCTGCTACCTTCACAAATCCTCTCACATTTGTACTTCAAATAATGCCGGGCAAGGAAGCCATACGCGTAAAAACTTATTTTCAAACTTGTTAGCAAATCTAAAAATGATAAACAGTATTCAGGGGCTTCAAACTAAGTCCTGGGAGCAAAATCTGCAAAATCCTTAAAAGGCAATTCAGTATCTAGTTTTTTTAAGGATTCGAGCATTTCAGAATTTTTGCTGTTAATTTTATCGGTAAATACTAAAAAACTTGAACAACATTTGGAATAGGGATAGATGAGGCCCCTCTGCGAACGAAGCGAGCAGAAAATATTTGCGACCACGCCCTTTAAGGTTAGCTTAAAGTACATTTCAGAATATTTCTTGCAATCTTTTTTTGCAATGTTTTAAAACATTTTATTTTTGTTTAAAATATCAAATACCAATTTGCACTTTTACCAGATACCAACTTTCTGAGCATTTTGGGGACAGCCGCCCCCTTGCCCCCTTGCCCCTTGCTACACTACTGCCCCAAGAACTTTCATAAAGTGCCCTTTTGATAAACTATTCATCCTCGATTTTAAAGTCGGGCACTCAGTCGGGGGGTTGTATAACAGTCAGTAAGTTGGGCATAACAAGCAAATTGATCAAAAACGTTTTTTTTGCCAGGAAAAGGGGAAAATGTAGGGATTCAACCGTTGTATGGAGCCTTCCCTTGAAAGAAAGAAGATGGGCGGTGGTAAGTGATATTATCTTTCTGTCGTGAAGATTAAAGATTTAGTTTGCTTATTATCGTGAATCCTGCTAATATTTCTAATGCATTAAGCAAAGTGTTTTTTAACTACATTAGGGTTTTCTTTGAAATGAAATGAAACGAAACGAAACGAAACGAAACGAAACGAAACGAAACGAAACGAAATGAAATGAAATGAAATGAAAAGCTTACAGTCACAGATTTTTGCCCTCCACCTTCCTGCATTGGTTATAATAAATAGGCATAACAAGCAAATTCATCAAATTTTTTTTCTATTTTACTAGGAGTAGGGCGAAAATGTGAGAATTCAACTGAAGAGCCTGCCCATAAAAGAAGGAAGATAGATCATGGTAAGTGATATTATTTGCCATAAGATGTAACCGCCATTCTGACTGATCCTGTTGCATACACTCTCTTTTTTATAAGAACAATTTTATAAGAACCCGAGCCTCAAAAATGGTCAAAAGTTAAGAACAGATTAAGAACAAGCTGAGGCTGAGATTCTGCAAAATGCAATTTTGAATAACGCTCTTTCTCAAAATCGAGGATTTTTAGCGATGTGTGGGTGCTTTTTCAGTGAATATTCAAACCTGTCAGCAAATTAAGGCTGTCTCACTCACTTTGTTGCCAAATGAGGCCGGAACACCTCCCTAGAGCGAAAAAGCTAGCACTGGTACTGCTTACACCTTATTAGATTAAGAACAAATTAGAGAACAATCCAGCTTGAGATTTTCGAAAAAATTAAGAACATTCAGTCTGAACTTAAATTTACTGGTTCTTTTTAAAAAAAAGTGTATGTCTTGAGTGAGGCGTGTTTTTCAAAATTGATTGTGAAATGGATTAGGAGAACGGACTTGATTCAGAAGATTGCACCTTTCAATGTAACATTGATAAACTGACAATTGTTCGTGCTGACTAAAATCAGATGTGTCATCAATCATGACAGCATAATAGCCGCTTTCTTTTACTTCTTCGATAATCCTGTCAATAGTCAGGGCTGTTAGACCCAGATTTTGAGAGAGTTGTGCAGCGACGCAGGCTATGCAAAATCGGATACCAGCATGAAACTTCGTCCACAAGGGTAGTTTTGGGCGCTGAACAAGATAAGATGCAGACCCCAGCTGAGAAATGTTCCCAAGTGCTATTTTTAGAACGTTGTATTGGGTCCCATGCCCCAAAAGCATTTATTCTCATAATATCGCTGCTAGTTGTGATACCGAAATTGGAAGATATTGGCAGTTTGATATGCCTAAAATAATAGGATGCATACCCTAGCTGAGAAATGCCCCCAAGTGCTATTTTTAGACCTTCACTGGGTCCCAGGTGCCACAAGCGTTTTTCTAATAATGTTGCTGCCATTTGTTTTGCGAACATAAAAGTTGGTAGAGATAGGCAAAGTGCAATGCTGAAGACCACGATATGCCAATCTCATATGAATAATGCCCGCAAAGTTTTTTTTAGACTAGGTATTTGATATCCGGCCCAGGTCTCTAGGGAAATATTACCTGCTCCAGCACAGAGGTAACAAGTGAAAGGATATAAATATGCTGTCTTTGTTCATTGACATTGTCCTACACATTTGGAGAGCTCAGTACCAAGGGTTTCGTATTTTGCGGGGGGGCACAGTGGTGGCGCTAGGGGGGTTACAGCCCCTCCGTCGGAAGCATCTAGCCCCCCATCGGAGGAAATTTTAGGTTTTTGTCGGAGTAAATTTGACAATAACGTACGAAAACTGCTTATTTTAGTCATTTAAGCCCCCCTGTTAGAAGCTCCAACCCCTCTGTCGGAAGATTTCTGGCGCCACCTCTGGGGGGCAGTGTGCACATGCCCCCTAGCATCGACTACGCTGGATTTCTTCGCAAATTTCGTATCTGTTCAGCTGAGGACTATTGGCCGTTTATAGAAAAATTGAAAGTTCAAATACAATTAGCATAAGAAAGAGATTGCCGAGAAAAATTTAGACAGGGAATAAAGTGAATAAAAGACACTAAATAAAATAACCAGGTATAACCAGGTAAAATAACCTGAATAAAAAAGAGAAAGTTCTTATTGACAGGCAAAATTGCGGTCAAACTCGCGGTACAAGTAATCACAATCTTGCAAGTTGGCTCTACCAAATGTGAACGCACCTTCAAACAGCTCAAGTATGTAAAAAACAGGCTGCGATCAACATTGGACCAAAATAGGCTAAACTCTCTAATGATGATAAACTTTAGTATGCCATGTTTCCGCTATTTCGTGCCATCTTCAAATGATAATGAATGTTAAGCGTGTCTTGGCTGTTACCGTTAGTTATGATGGAGTAATCGACAAGTTAGCTGACATAACATCACTAAGGAGACTTCTCATGCACTGAAAATCATCCAGGTCATTTCTTTAGATTTTTACGATTTTCATAATCTGAGATCTGGGATCTTTCAGTGAACTGATGACGAAGATTGTTGGGACAGAGGTTATGCAAAAGTTATTATGTCAGGACTCTTTGGTCGAAGGATAGTAAAAGTCTTGACTGTGAGCAAACTACAAATCCCCCCGCCTTGTACTTGACATTCTCTGTTAGCTTCCTTTCCCTTGTTCGCAATAGTTGTAGTTGGGCTAGCTTGGTGTTGGAAAGAGTGTTCCATAGTGAAGATGGCTTTCAAAGAGATCTGTATAGACCATCTCTTTGAGATCTGTATATATGTCAAGTTTCTGTGCGGATGGGTATTCTGCAGTTTCCTTAGGAGCTTAAGCCCCCTGTCAATTTATTCTTAACAATTTTGTACTGCTCTTTCCAATTAAGGCTTTGGTGGATGTTGTTTCCTTAATCATTTGGTCTTCCAAGCCCTTTTGATAACTTCATTTTTAAGGACAATGAGACCGAAAAGCTTGGGGATTTTGTCTTTACATAGTAGTATAAGTTCTGGTGAAGTAATATAACTTTTCGGCCTTCTTCTTGTGGGTCCTTTTTGAAGCGGTTCCCTATAAAAATGTGTGTATTCTCTATACGAATATCATGGAAATTTACATGAAATAGAGAGCCAAACGTGGAAGGAAATAATTTTTAAAATAAGCAAAGCTTTACTATTCAAAATTATTTCTTTTTTATATTTGTTTTGTAATGTTACTGGATTGAATTTCTTGTAGATCTTGAAGACAGTGACATACAAGAAGACGATAATGAGGAGTTTGGGTTGATACCGCCGTCACTGATTCGTTTGTTAAAGAATATTTTAGCACAGTACCCTGACAACGGTCAGATAATCAAGGTGCGTATATCTGTGAACAATCATATGAGAAAAAAATCATATGTACATCATTGTGTTTTCAGTATTTCCAATCCTGCTTGATTATTTGTGGCAGAGGTTTGTATTATGCCAGCTGATGCCTTTTTTCAGATTTTCACCACCATTGGGCTGCCAGCTATTAAATGGGAAATATTGCAATGTTCATTTCCCTTGGTTTTCAAAAAAAAATGAGAACAGTCATTCTCACTACACAGTTAGATATATATTAAGAGGGTAAAAATGATAAAAAAAAGCATTTCGATTTCTGCAAGTTTTATTCACTTGTTTTGTAATCTGGATCCAATTTTTGATTTGATTTTAACTCCCTGTCTGATTTGCGTGACGTCAGTGCTATAAGGTTTTTCTTCCTAGTAAGGCTTTGATTATCAATGCAAAAGTCGCTGATACCAGCAGAGAAGAACACTGTAAAGTTTTCTTTTGGTAAAGAGGGGGGGGGGCAAGATTTTCTTGAATCGTCAAAGTTTTATTTTCTGCTCAGGGGGGGTGGGGTTACTGAGCCTAATTTTGGGCGGGACATGCCATTTTGGTTAAAAAATTGGACCCATAATTCCGCACATGTCTGAGAAAATGTAACCCATTATTCCGCAAAGCAAATAGCATTTTTAAAGCCCAACAAAATCATCAAACAATTTTTGCATTTCCTTTACCCCAAAATCTCAATATTAAATATATTTCATACTTTAAATTCCAATAATTTTGCGATATTTTCCCAAAATGGTGCCCATAATTCTGCATGTTTCTTCAAATGGTACCCATAGTTCCGCACATATTTCAAAAACTGATACCGATAATTCCGCACTTTTTAGAAAAAAGGTACCCCTAAATAATAGCACGTCCCCGTACCTTAGTACCCCCCCCCCCCCCCCCCGAAATTTTTTGACATGCCCTTTTTAAAAAGTGTCAATAATTATCATTATCTAGTTATTAAAAAAGAATAAAAGTAAACAGTGCTTTCATAATTCGAAATAAGTCTAATGATAAAATTCGAGGTTTTACCTGCTCAATGACAGACCATAAAGGGACCCATTACTTTCGGTTTTTGGAGAATACCGCGAACTATTTTGGAATGCTGTTGATTATTTGGGGATGCTCTAGATTCTAGAAGTTTTGTTCTCGCAGTGGCAGGTTTGGGCCACCAACACTTGACTCGACAAAATTTCGAGCGTTGTCAAGTGAAATGCTGAGAGCATTTGGCTGATGGTGGTTATGGGCTTTAGCAAGCTACCTTGTAGGTTAACCAAGTAAAATGCTAAAAATATAGAAAAAATACAAAGAAAAATACCAAGCGGAATGGAGTATATTCAAAAATTAAATTCAGTATAAGTGACAGTATATGAAGACGGGTTTGATAAAGAGTGGGTTGAACCGAGCAGCACCCTTATTTGCAAGGTTAAGCCTAAAACATACTCAAATACCTTATGATATCATGTGCAGTGCAGGCTTTAATCAACACATGCCACCATGTTAAGTTTTTGAATATTCTTTTCATCATCTAACTCACTTACAGGAAATTGTGCAAAACGCTGAAGATGCAGGGGCAACAACAATCAGATTTGTGTACGACGAGAACAGCATTGATACTATATTTTCACAAGGAAAGGAGGAACTCAAAGTACCTACTTATTGATTTTTCTTTCATTACATAAATATCTGAAAATTGTTTTTTGTTCAAGATTGCTTATTCAGCTGTTATACACCTTTTTTTTTATAAAAAGATAGCCTTTTTTATATGCACATAAAATTTTTACAAAACATACACAAATTTACCAGACGATACCACAGGGAGCATGCAGTTTTCACAGGCAATTTTCATTCAATATAAAAAACTAAATTAACTATAATTTAAAGATGCAAAATGAGCGAAAAGAATAAATAGAAACTCTTTCTAGAGCGAGGAGAGGAGAGAGGAAATATGTTGTTTGTATTACCAATTTATTCAAAACGTTTAGAGGCCTAGATATATTTAAGCATTGCAGCGAGAATTTTCGAATTTGATTCGAGTGGTAATTCTTCATGGCCATAAAGGATGATTTTTAGCAGATCTTCATTTGAAAGATTTATCAGACCACGAGGCAATAATATCGCATTTAAACTGTTGAGGAGATCACATCTATCTACGTTGAAATTATGGCAGAGCAGGAAATAGGGCTCCGTGTCCCCAACACCGTCATTTATTGGGCACAAAGGGTTCAATATGTCATTAAAATTGTGCTTAAATTTATGGAAATTTAGCTTACTGAGTCCAACCCGTAACTGCGTTAAGATGGATAGCCCATTTGGGTCATGAAAATTGTAGATTGGTTTAGGAGGTGGATGGATAATGAAAAACAATTTTTTATTGAAAACATTTACCGAGGTCGATTGCCTAATCTCAGGATCGAGCAGTTGGGATAGAAGCTTGATTTAAAACTGTTTGTTCTTACACACATTTGCCCAATCGTAATTGCGTCGTAATTGGATTCTTGAAGATTGGGAATTGAATGTCTCGTATAATCTGGTGTTAGGAATATAGTCTTAGAAATATTGAGGTTCAAAATGTGAACTGAAATTTTAGAAAAATTGTAAATAATGCAAGGCTCAAGCTTCACCAAGAATCAAATTTCATGTCCATCTGAGTTTTTCGAATTTCACGCAATATGTTTAGAAATAGACCTATCTGTCCTTGGAGTCATTAAAATTATAATGCAACCCGTTTATACCTATGTCGCCTAAATATAAATTTAAGGATAATCTTAGGCTGAAAAAAGAAAAAATTAAGAAAAAATTAAGAATACAGTAAATCCTCGAATTAGCCCTCTGGGGGCTTATTTATTTTTGATATTTTTGGATGGGAGCTTATTCGAGGGGGGAGCTTATACGAGGGGGGCTTATAGAATTATTGTTGGCATTAAGAAGACATTATTAAAAGACCTCGTTTAATTTAGTAGGAATTTCTTTATGAGCATTTAATTAATTACTACCAAAAGTACGCATTTGTCGTGGTAATTCAATAAGACCCCATAGGTAACCTCAGATGGCGAAAATGATCAAATTGAGGGGTCCAATTTGAGAATTTTCGGTAGCAGTTGGGTTTATTCGAGGGGGGGCTTATTGACAATTTATAGTTCTAGGGTGGGGGCTTATTCGAGGGGGGCTTGTTATAGAGGGACCTATTCAAGGATTTACGGTATTGAGGCTCAGCAAAAAATTAGGTATTCTTATAAGAAAAATGTGTATATTAAAATGTATTTCGTTTATCTTGCTATACTCGAAATTGCATGTTATTCTCGAAATTGTTCTAAGAGTCCTAAAGCAGCCAGTTTACTTTGTTAAAAATTGACAGGTTAGTAATTTTTGCGGCATAACAAACGAGTTTAATTATTCTCTGATACTTTTTTCTAGGGCCCTGCTTTGTATTCATATAACGATGCTCTATTTAGTAACAAAGATTGGAAGGGAATACAGATGTTGGGACAGAGTGTGAAAGAGAAAGATCCCTTCAAAGTAGGAAAATTTGGGCTTGGCTTCAAATCTGTTTTCCACATGACAGGTGAGAAAAACAATATGCTGGTAGATAAGAGGGTTTTGCAATTTTGGTTGGACAGGAAATTCATGAGATTTGCAGGGCAAAGTTGAATCGAGTTGTTTCGTTCCTGAATATTAATATGTTGTCCTTAGAAAAAAGGGTCGCAGAGATGATTAGCTGCCAAATTAAGTGCCAGTTTTCAATTGTTTTTCACATCCTCTTATTGTTTCATTGACACTTTTTCTTTAAAGGAGATTGCAAGCTCTGTTGTTTAAAGTAACTAAATTAAAAGTGTCAATGGAGTTGTGTGCGGAATTTGCCCCTGGGAGTTGAATATCATAAAAAAGGTCACATTCGAATTGACTGACTTTTGTTTTGAATTTAAGTGAATATGAAAAATTGAAGGGTAAAAGACGACTGACTGTCTTCACGATTATGGGATACAGAAGCGTGTTGGCCGCAAAAAAGGGCCAGGGAAAATTCAAAGTTTAGGGTCCAATCCTTGGCGGCCTATGGATTCTTCCCACCTGTCACGTGACTCACTTGTTGCCGCCATGATGGATCACAACCTATTCTTGGACACACATCGCAACGCATTATTTATACCATACGGATTTTGAAACAAAAGTTATCTTCGCCGATTTCGAAACCTTATATATCTAGGATCTTTTGCATATGCACTTAGCCAACTTGCTTGCTTTGCCTTCTTATCTTGGGAACAGATTTTAAAAACTTTAAAGTACATAGTACCGTCTTCTAACAGCCTTTCCGATTAGGCGCTTTGCTAGAAGGAGTAGCTAAGTCTCAGATAGATCAATCACAATGATAAAGTTCTGTGCAATAACTAAAGCCCCGGCCAAACGAGCCAACATTTCTCCCAACATTTCAGCCAACATGCTCCTTTCGCATATTGGCTCGAATGTTGGGTCGTTTGGCCACCATGTTGGGTCACCCAGCCCATTTGAAACTGGTCAAAAATGTTGGCGGCTGTTGGGTGTTGTTGGGCATTGCTGGCTCGTTTGGCCGGGTAGGCCAACATTTGTTGGCTTCACGCAAGCGCTGTAAGGAATTTATAAATGTGAATAGCGCTGCGCGCCAAGTTTGAGTTTGTAAAGCAAAGATCAAAATTGTGAGAAAAGCCTTTTGATTTGGAAGACTTAGGAATATTGGATGATGGAAAAGTACGAGAAAGAGATTTAGTGAGTGAAGATGAGTACGACGAGGCCGTAGAGGAAATGAATAGAGTTTTGGGGAAAAGAAAAGCGTTGCCTTCAAGACCAGGGATGGCAGGCTTAGGCCGTCTTGGACTACATCCACCAAAAAAAGTAGCCAAAGTCAATGGCAGTGAAGACGAGCCAACTGATGATTATGCTGCTGATTCTGATGAAGAAATTACCCCGCCAAAAGAATCTCAACGCTAGAAAGTAAAGAAAACGACAGTAACTAAGGAGATGAAAAATATTTCAGGTCAATCTAGGAAGACAGCATGGAGACATGAGGAAATTTTACGATTAATAGAAAATCTGGAAACTCGTCCTTGTTTGTGGAACGTATTTCACCAAGCATACCATTTGAGAGACCAACGCGGAAAAGCGTTAGAAGAAATCTCAGAGGTAATGAAATATTTCTGTCATGGAAATTAGATCAAAAATTGCTGTTTTGCGAGCACAGCTAGGAAGAGAGATTGCCAAGTCCTGGACAAAATCTGGACAAGGAAGGGATGAGCTTTACAACACCAACTGGCCCTACTGGGGGCCTTTACAATTTTTGTGTCCAGTTATGCAGCCAGGAAAAAGCAAAGATACCTTATCTTACAATCTGGAGTCACAAAATGTTGAAATTCAAGAAAACGATAGAGAAGAGACCAGCAAAGAAAGTGAAGATTCATCCTCAAGCACACAATTTTCTGAAAATTCACAAAAAGGGACTCCAAAGATGTCCAAGAGAGCACTGGAGCTACAGAAGCAGGAAATCATGAACAAGTGCATCAATGTCTTGTGTGAACCACCACCACAACAGTCACATGATGCATTGAAAGAATGTCCATTTGCTTTGTTTGTAGCAGAAAATCTGAATAAGTTTGATGATCGCACAAGGGTAATTGCAGAGAAGCGAATTTGTGATGTCCTTTTTGACATAGAAATAAATGGAGTTGCTTCAGCTCTTCCTGTAAACAACAACAGTTCCCATAACCAGTCAAGCGATGGAGGTGGAATGCATCACAGCAACTTTGGGTTTCTAAACTATTTGCAGCAATGAAACTGTAAAAAGCCACTGATGGTTTTGCAGCTAATTTCTTACCTGTTGGTTTAACCCTATCCGGACTGGGCTTTTTGAGCTGCTAGAAGGCTAAAGGGCTCATTCAGCCCCCCCCCACTCTAAAATAGTTGCTCCTTAGTTTATGTTGACAAAAATCACCATAGACATAGCAGAGGTTATGATGTATCTGGCTTTAATCCAGGCAAACAGAATTTCAGCAAGAAGACCATCATTCCTTCTAATAAAGCTCTTTGACATGGCAGCTGCTTAGGACATCATCTTGTTCTACCAATAGTGCAATAGCACTCCTCTTGCTGACAAACCACTATGTCTTCCACTCCATGCATACAAATTCAAATGCCCTATCAAAAGAATTTTCAACATATTGCTTACATGACATTTTTGAATTCTTTCTTCGACATTTTAAAAGTACTTTCTCCAGATGTATACTGTTGAGCACTAATGATGAAAACAAGTTCTTCATTTATTTTATTCTCTTTAGTATAATCGGATAGCAAGTTTACATTGCTCTTGTGCTGATACATCGTTGGTCGAATCAAATCTTTTTCATTTTTTCATATAAACGACTGCAAAACTTACATTACATTCTACCATACTTAATAAGATACTATACTACGCTACATGAATAATACCATGGAGAGGAAGAACAATGACTACTCCATGACCAACACATGAAGTACTTTAAACGAAAATATAAGAAAACTATAACTAAACTAAAACAACTAATTATAAAGACAATATACACTAAAGTAGTGGCTGATGTTAGGGAGTCTGAATGTTGCAATACATACAGCTTGTACAATTCAGCCAAAGTTTTGCGGTGCAGATACTCAGAGAAAAATTTCATTATTCTTATCTCCCGTCTACGTTTTATTATAATTGACTGAATATGAGTAGCAAAGGACAATTTCGAATTAAATATGATGCCAAAGTGCCTATGTTCAATCATTTTAATAACTGAGATCTTATTGAATACAAGTGGTGGATGATTGGCTGATATTTTCTTACTTCAAGAAGTCACTTCGACTGCTTACTTTGGTGTATCGGGGTCTAGTAACATGCGCCAATTATGCGCCCAACTTTTGATGATGTCAAGATCGCGATTCATGTCTGAAGCAGCCTGTTTAGCATTGTGAACAATGGTGAAAACTGAGGTATCATCAGCAAAGAGTTTGACATTACACTTAGAATTATCCGCCAAGTTGAAAAGCAAACATTTTTAGTCATACTAAAGCTTTTCGTCTGACACTCGAAAAATCTGAAATGTGCAAAAATGGGTGGCAATACAATGGAACCATTAAATTTAGCAAAAAAATCAGATGGAATGCTTTGTTTTCAAAATAGTAAGAGAAATTTTGGCAGTACATTCATGCAATAAGTTCATATAAATTAAATGTTGTACCTCCATTAATTTTACTTTGGCATAAAGATCACACCATTCAGACATTACCAAAGTTCACAGAAGCAAAGTGAATTATGGACAACCTCAGCTGTATTCCGTTAAAACATGACAGACAAAAGCTGCTATTTATTATATTTGATTTACGTTATTAGCTACAATAGAATTGTCTTTGAAAAAACACAAAGTAAAAGCCCTTTGAGAGCCCATTTTCAAACATTGTTGAGTTTTCCAAATACCCCAGTGGGCTAGCACACCTCTGGATTTAAGACATGCTTAATTTTGAAGTCAGTCCTACCCTGAAACCCTAAACCTGTTAGCTTTTCTCGTGGCACTCAAAATTCCGAAGCATTCATGGAAAAGCCTAGCCTTATTTTTCCATTACTGCCTTTCATATTTTTCCAGTTTATAAAATCTGTTGGCAAAAGGATCCCCGTGCCCTTATAGCACCAACTCATTTGCATTTCAGATAATCCAGTCATAATGAGTGGATCCAAGTTTGGTATCATTAACCCAGATGAGAGGCTCTTCTCAGAAACAGAGGAAAGGAGAACTGGAAAATACTTGGACTTCAGTAAGATTAAAAATGGCGAGGAAATATCCTACCATAAAGATTCCTCTGATATATTTGAAAGGCTGTTAAATACAGATGCCAAGACAGGCCGTTGCAATGGGACTTTATTTCGTTTTGTGCTGCGCAAATCTCCCTCAAAGCTATCCGAGACGATCTACAATGACCGTAAGATGCAGGGTCTGCTCAAGTCTTTCGAGAGTGAAGGAAACTGGGCTTTGCTTTTCCTTAGAAGTCTCAAGAACATCGAGTTTTACCACCGTGCAAAAGACTGTGATGAAGCCACGCTTTTGTTTTCTTTTTCAAATAAAAACGGCAATCAACAGGAAAACAAGACGTTTATGGAAAAGGTATGATCTTTATGATATTCCTTAAATGATTTCAAGCATCTAAATGCCTGTATTTCAAGCAGCTTGTTTGGTTGGATTTCGCTCTGTTCCGACACAAGTTCCCATAAGCGCGCACGTTCAAACACGCGCAAACTTTCGAACACGCGCGCACCCTTCGAAACTAGATTTTTTCCATGCGCCTCTGTTTCGCTATTGCCTCACTTAACGGACGTTTTTCCCATAGCTCAATGGGCCTAACCCGTAACTTCACCGTCCATCTCATTCGCAGTTGTCCACATCAACTGCTCTCTCAAGCACGAAATTGACTTGGGGCAAGTCTACAGACATCTGGGCCGGAGCCCGGCACTCTGAGTTGAAATATTAAGGAATTTTAACATCGCTCTCTTCGGACACATTTGCACAAGCTTCGTTAAGGCAAAAATGCTTTCGAAACTTGCCCGACTTTTTCCAATAATAAAAGGAAAGAGTTGATGACTGTTTTAGATGGGCTTTGCACGGCTATCTGATACTGGGTTTATTATTACATGTTAATATAATTAATAATAAGTAATTGTATTATTAGATAAGTGGTTTAAATTTTCGGCTAGACTTGATTCCCCTGAACCCTCCCCCCCCCTCCCCTTCCTTTACTGCTCTAGTAGAAAAACGTTAACAAAAGAGCCATTTGTATTATATCTCAAATGTCAAAAGTCGATATAAGAGCCACTGAATATTCCTTTAAGCGTAATGGCTATAAATATTATCAAAAAAGTAATGATCTGTTTGGATACTGTGTGGAAGGGACTGTGTGCATATTCATGAAAGCATGACGATGAAAAAAGAAATTATCGATATATTTCTAATTCCATTACAACTGTATTAACAGCCTTAGCGTTAGCGTATTTACTGTTATTGTCACTGTCGTTTGTCACGCCACTCTGATCTTTTTCTTATTGTGAGTCCGTGTATTTAGCAAGTTTTGTCGATAATGTCTTAGTTGCGATGTGACATTATCATGTCTTCAATGCTACGCAATGTATAGTATCGTAATTCACATTGCTTACCTGTACAAGTCATACCTAGCCAGTGCTCAAGACCCCCAACCTTAAGGAAGAGGTTTAGGGTGTGGAGCACAGGCTAGTCATACCTTGTTATAGATGTATGCTGGCTCTCAGTAGTCAGTGTTTGCTGGCTCACTAACATTATGGAAGTGTCTTTTTTCAATTTCCATGTTGGATGGTTTTTTTATCAATGCAGGTTAAAGAAAATGAGAAGAAGAAGATATCAGAAAATATTTCTATCTTTCATGACATACAGATAGAAACAAGATCTAACATCAGAGATTTCTGCAGAATCAAAAGGTATATTATTGTTGATTACTATGCTGGATCGACACTTTCAGAGGAAAACGAATTGGTTAATCGTGGAGATGCAGAAAAACTTGGTTACATCCCAATTGTTGGGATAGCTTACTCTCCTGAAGACGAACAATCTTTAGATGGCCATGTATTCTGCAGTTTGCCTCTTCCGATTGTACAGACAAAGACAACAGGGCTGCCCGTACACCTCAACGGCTTCTTTGCACTTGGGCCTGACAGAAAGGACTTGAAATGGGCTACAGTTGGCCAGCAGGATCATAACGATAAAGAGGTTTTATGGAACATGTTTCTTATAACTAAAGTCCTCCCCCTTGCGTACAAAGATTTGTTCCTGTTCTTGCAGAAGGGAGAATTTTCAAGCAATCAGGTGTATAATATGCTGCCAGATATTGAAGAGGTAGATAGCAAGTGGAAAAAACTTCCAGATAGTTGCCTAGAGAAAGTTTTGCCAGAACGCTGTGTCTGGACAGATGCAGGGGGCGGGCAATGGCTTTTCCTGAGAGAAGCGTACTTTGAACTCCCCAAGTATTCAGGATATCAAACAGCATTCAAGTATCTAGTTGAGTGTAATGAAATAGCAGTTAGAATTCCGAAGCACTTTGAAACTATTGTGAAGCGGCCTGGATCCCAACCTCGTAAATTCCTGTGTCCGGAAAAAGTACGCGAGATTGCTTGTTTGAATTCAACAGGTCTGAAAAGCCTAAGCCAAAACGAGAGGCTCGATCTCCTGAACTATATGATAGTTAAACCAGAAGATATACGTCACTTGTGCAAACTCCCATTGATTTTGATGGAAAACGATTCATTTGCACTTCCTGAGAGCGACAAGAAACTTTTCATACCAAATGGGAAACACAGCAAAGATTTATTACCTGGCTGTCAGGAGTTCCTGGTAAGAACAGATATAGATGAAAAGCTTTTGCAGAAACTGCGTACAATTGCGAAAAATGGTAAGTCTGTTTGATCTTACATGTTGATATCTAGCCGAGCATAGATGATTGTAAATAATTGAAAAGGCAAGTTAAGAATCCGCAAAGCGTTTCTAGAAAATATTTTGCAAGGAAATGAAGCTCAATCGCATTTCTCGTTCCCGCTAACCTTTCCATTTCGTTTGAGCCCTGTAAGCAATGGCATCATCACTCTGATTTTATCTCCCTTGCTTGCCGTCATGGACTAAATCCGTAGTACGATCCAATTAATATTTTTTGAAAGGAAGAAGGTTGGTTAGATTTATTAAGTACATTGCAACAGCCATACATCTCTAGCTGCCAATTTTTTTGAAGTGACATCAATCTAAACGTGAGACTTTGAACAATAAATATAGTTCAAAATTTGACGATGGCGGGCATTATCATCCCTCTCAGGTTAACAGCTGCTAAAATGCTCTCTTTCACTAATACAATGCTAATTATTCAAGTTTAGCAACATTGCAACAAGGAGAAAGAAAGACACAGCTTAGAAGTTTTGCAAAGATTGTTAGGTTACCACGGATCACCAAGTTAGGTTACCAAGAAAGCTGACTGCCATTTTTATGCCTTCTCACAATTTTTGCAATTAGAATCTCGACCCGAATACTGAGAACCCTTAAAGCTCCAATATATTGTCATAGAAACTAGAGTTCGATTCTCATAGAAACAAGACTCAACTGACGATTCAAACCCATAACTCAGTGCTGCTTTGGTAGCATCTTATCTTAAATTTAACCCCCAACCCCCCCCCCCCCATTTTAATCCTTTTGTGACATTTATAGAAATTTAGTTAGAAAGTTAGAAACGAATAGAAAAAGTTAGAAATGAATAGATTTTGAAATTATAAAATAAAATCAAGAATAATCACGGAAGAGTTTTGTTTCAGGATATTGTAAACTTTCCATGCTTGACCAATCCTCTGTTGCAACTCTGTTGTGCAAGTGCCTCGGGAAGACCAGCTCTTTTATCGCCAATCGCGAAAAGTGTATGACGGCAGACTGGTTTCAGAAAATTTGGAAATATTTGAATGAGCTTGGCGATCTAGAATTGTTTGAAGGACTTCCTTTGATTCCGATGAAGAACAATAAAGTTGGATCTTTACAAGCCAACTCCCTCCTTCTCCTACATACCGAGAATGAAAGAGAGGACGATCTCGTTACAGTTATGAAGCAAATCGGGTTCGTAGTTGTGGAAGGCTTACCTGGTTATGTTCAACAGAACAAGAGCTTGTTTGGAAAGTATCTATATACCTGTAATCCTGAAGGCATAACAAAACTTTTAATGAATATTTCTGAGAAGATTGGAAATAGAAAACTGTCCAAACAGATCTCTCAAATATGTTCGATGGCTGGAAAAGCTTTGCTTAGAGACAAAGTCGCTGAATTCTTTCTCGCAAATCAACCAACAAAGGGCCTGATTGAGCTCATCAAGTCATTGCCAATTCACGAAAACACAAATAGCCAGGTTTTGGTGTCAATTGATGAATGTCAGGAAATTTGCCCGAACGTGCCATCAGACTTGATTCCTTGCAAAACCTTGTTAAAGTGCACAGACAGAACCCAGAAAACGTTTGTTGAAAAACTAGGAGGGCGGTTGATAACTGAAGAGGAACTTATTCTGAAATACCTGTTACCAGAAATCGAGGCTGGAGAATCGACTGTTCATTACATTGCCAAGTTAAATTTTGTGGTGACGACTGCTACCTCAGGGCTTTTCAACAACAGCGCTCTCGCGAGTGAGATCAGGCGCAAATTAAAAAGCATAGATTTTGTAACTGCAGACAGTGGAGAAAGGAGAAAACCGCGTGAACTGTTTGAACCCAGTGAACACCTTACCAAACTTTTCAAGGGTGAGGTTGGAAGATTCCCATCTAAAGATTTCTCAACTGAACAAAAGCTGATCTTATTGAGAAAGTTGGATTTAAAAACAGAGAAATGTGTCACAGCAAAGGACATAACTGATTGCATCCAAATGGTGGCAGGTTCAAAAGACATTGGAGAGACAGAAAAACGTAAAAAGGCACAAAATATCGCTATACATCTGACAGATCACATCGATTTGCTGAATGATCGCGAATTAAAGAGGATTTTAGAGACCGAGTCCTGGATTCCAATTGAAAAGCAAAGACCAAAGCATTACCCAAGCAGTCTGGAATGGTTTGCTGATGCTAGTAATGCTAACCCATTTTCGAGTCTTGTTGAAATGCATTTTGGGACGGCTTCAAATTTGCTTGGAAGCGTGATGCCAATTATAAGCAAGGATTTTGAGACATTTCAGGTAATTTTTTCATCTCTGCATCGCGAAACAATAAGTGTTGCCAAAGTTTGCCAGCACCTGTCCTGTGTGATTCATGACTATAAAGAATCGGAAAGGAATGAATTCATTATAGTTTTAAAGGATGTATACAAACTTCTGCTACAGAAAGCACAACCGGGGCACTGCAGTGCATTACAAAATGCCATTAAAGAATTTTTCCCCGATGCCAAATGGCTTTGGCACGGTTCAGGTTTCGCATCTCCAAAACAGATTGTGCTTCATGATAACTTGAAAGATTTGGATCTGAAGCCATTTGTCTACAAATTGCCTATAGACATGAAGCCTTTTGAAAAGCTAATAGAAATGTTTGGAGGTATTACAGAGTACTCTGACGAGTTATTTATTCAAATCTTATCAGAAATTAAAGAAGAGCACGACAGTAAACGTAGCCCCGAGGAAGCTTCGCGTGACTTGAATATATGCGAACGACTTCTTGCGATTTTGGCAGAAAGAAAATTATCAAGGGAAAATCTTAATAGGATTGTAGTTCCAGTTCACTCAACGGATGACAGGCCATTTATGCTGGTTGGAATAGATCAAGCAGTCTATAGCTCGAGTACTCACTATAATGATGATGAAGATACAGACAATTTGGAAAATGTCTTTCACCTGCATGACAGAATCCCAGAGTGGGTTGCACAAAAGCTTCACATTAAAAGTCTGACTAGTCAACTTATTGGAGCAGAAGATCTTGGAATTTTTGAGGAGTATGGACAAAGCGAGCCCCTTACACGAAGAATAAGTAATATACTTAAAGACTATGGTGATGGCCTTGCTATTTTCAAGGAGCTGATCCAGAATGCAGATGATGCTTGTGCAAGACAAGTTAAACTTCTGTATGATGAGCGGAAAAACGAAAATATGAGAAGCCAATTGATAGACCCAGGAATGGCAGATCTCCAGGGATCGGCTCTTTGGGCTTTTAATGATGCCAAGTTCAGTGAAGAGGATTTTGATAACATAGTCAAACTTAGTGGTGCAACTAAAGAAGATAAAAGAGATAAGATTGGTAAATTTGGGTTAGGCTTCAATGCGGTGTATAACATTACTGACGTCCCAAGTTTTGTCAGTGCCAATAAGCTGGTTATCCTAGACCCTCATACAACTAATCTTGGGAAAGCTATTCGGGACAAATCTAAGCCTGGTGTAAAGATTCCATTGGGTCCTAAAAGAAACAGGCTGAGGAGGCTACAAGATCAGATTAGAGTCTACGATGGCGTTTTTGGTATGGATGCCAGTCTTGAGTCGAATTACAGAGATTTTGATGGAACACTATTTCGATTTCCATTGAGAACGAGAAAGCAAGCTGGAGCAAGCGAGATCAAGAACCTTTGCTATGACAAGAATGAAATGAAAGTTTTAATACAAAAGTTTGCATGTGAAGCAAGCAGGTTGCTGATGTTTACACAAAACGTTTCTCTGGTTCAATTCTATCACCTTTCAGAGAATGCAGCTTCCCCAGACGAAATGGCGCTGTTAGTGCAGATTGAAAAATCTGTATACAGGCCTGACAGTGATTCGCCTGAAACTTTCCAAGTTATGAGCAAATCGTCTGCAATGGTTAACAGAAAGTTGCAAGGTGAGCAAATGGAAGAATTTCAAATGGGTCACAAGGTTAATATTGCTTGCAGGATTTCAAATAAAGCTCGAGATGATTTTGAAGTGTCTGCCCAAGATTTAGAGGAAACCTGGCTCCTACACACTGTCATAGATGCGTCGGATTGTATGGATCTAGCTTCTCAGTATCCCCAGCTAAACCCAGTTTCTACTGTTGCAGTCTGCCTTGACAAGAGTCGCAAATCATTCAAGCACCAGTCAGTTAAGGGTTATTTCTTTTGTTTTTTGCCGCTTCCAATGCCA